GAGCTCCAGTTCACGCGCCGGCGTGATTATCTCGTTATTAATGTTTCGTGATTATCTCTATAAATACAGGCAATTGGTTGATGAAACATTGATTAAAATTAAGATACAATTAATACAAAACGAAATTCACTTTAAAGAAAGGTTTTGTGCTTTCTGTTTGATGTCTTTGTGAAAGTTTTAAAGCATCTTTTAGTGCCGCTTTCAGAGCGCTCACGTCCGTAACGGAGAACACGTCCGTAACATTGTTTTTCCTCATAAATGCGAACACGAAAAATAAAATAAAATGAATATTTTATGTTATGTGGAGACAACCCTTCATCCGGTGGGTAGTATTAATTTTGGTTTGCGCAGTGTAATTCACAGAATTACTAAAACATATTTGCCACCTAAGTTAAAGATTGTTTTGTGTCACGCATGTTTATTTCGGCGTGTGTTTCATCCAAATTGCGATCGCATCGCGGGGGCCGGATTGAAGCACTATGCGGGCCGGATCCGGCCCCCGGGCCGTATATTGCCCATGTATGGTTTAGACGGTGGGCCGAGGCCCCGTATCTGCTTTACTTTTCGAAATGAATGATCCCCATGGAGGGAGAACCTGAATTTGTAAAGTTGGGACGGTTGTTTTATCCTCAACGATATGAAAAGTGTTGCCACTCCCATTTGTTGCACATTTTCCCCCGAAATCATAATGCACGACCGTAAATATGCAGGCAAACGCGGTTGCCTACTATATCAGTCGAGCCAATAGCGTGGCAAGATACTGACATAGGATTATTATTAACCAATCAGATGTAGCTTATTTAGAACAGTTGTTACGCGGATGATTCAGCTGTCAGACACGAACAGCATCTGCGGCGGCAGCACAGTGACAATCGCCAAGGACATTGTTTTTGTGATTGTAAGTATTCATTTAATTAGAATATGATATCTATGACAAATGTTTGTTTTGTACACTGTGTTGTTCAAACGTATGTAAGCGTCTCGTTAGTGTCGTTTTAAGTAGGGTAGTTTCAGCTGGCTAACTGACATAGTAGCTAGCATGTCTAACGTTAGGTCACAGCTCTGAACCAAAACTACAACATTACTAGTAGATTAATGCATCCTTCATTTTAATTCCAAAATCTAAACCAAGCTAATCTCTTGCGATCGTATGCATGAGATTAGCTTGGTTTAGATTTTGGAATTAAAATGGATGTAAGCGTCTCGTTAGTGTCTTTTTAAGTAGGGTAGTTTCAGCTGGCTAACTAGCAGTAGCTAGCATCATGCGATTACATATTTGATTTGGTGTAAAGTTTTAAGTACTTAATTCTAACGGTAACACTTCGTCCAACTCACATAGGCTACAGCTCCACTGTATGTCCCCGGATAATTACCTCAGACTGTTTTGCAAACGTTCGCCAAAAACTCAAGGTAAACATGAACCTCTTGATATATAAAACATATTTAATTATCAGTTATATCTGACATAACATTAAAGGGTCAGCAAGCAGCCAATATTATAACCAGAGAGCTAAGAGCTCAAGAAGAACGGCATGTAATATAAATAAGATTAGACTATCAAAGAACATATGCTATCAAACAGAGCAGAGTTATAATGTACATAAACATCGTACAGATTTACTTCTGCTGGAGTAGCCAACACACACACACACACACACACCCCTCCCCACATGTGCATTTACATAACCACATGTGCCCTAGTCATCTTCAAGTGACTTATTGTCACAGTTTACACACTGACAGAGGTTTGTACATGGCAGCTCATGCAGTTTACATGTGCATCTACCCTTAACACAATTTGTTTTTTTACATGAGCAGTGCACAAGTTCCAGAATGGCCTCTGGAGCTGGCGGAAGTGTCATCCAGTCCACTCCGTAGAAATCCCCTACCATCGTGTAGAGATCACGGGCATTAGACCTCAGAGCCCGTGTTTTTACTGGAGTTGCCTCACCATCCTCTGCCTCTACCACTAAAAAAAGTCTAAAACAATAGATTGAGGTTCTGCACCCTTCCCCACATCACTGAATTAAGAAATGGTTTGAAACTTTAGGCAGGGGAAAACTCATCCTTCATATATTGGTTTCACCTGTTCCCTTAACATGGTTAATAAACCAGTTTCACAGCGTTCAGGTGTCTGGCCTTGTTGATGTTAATAATGCCATAATTGGAAGGGTACATTTTTGCAGGATGTTTTTATTATATACAGTGTATTAACAGTAATATATTTATATTATTTGTACTATTATACTGTTACTGCTATTACACTGCACATAACTGTATGTGTTTGATCGTACTGGAAATCCATATCTATTACACTCTTATAAGGCTACTGCTAATACATTGCACATTTATATTTAATTAATATTACTGTAAAACATACTACTTTCTTAAATGTATACTACTGTACTGAATGTCTTATACTGCGCCACCTATCTATACAATATAATACTGCACTGTAATATACTGCGCCACCTGTCTATACAATATAATACTGCACTGTATGTCTTTTACTGCACCTCCTGTCTGTACAATATAATACCAACCTTCATTTGCAGTTTCTTCAACTAATACTGCCTTCTCTCTTCTCCTTTGTGCTCGTTCTATCTTCGTGATATTTGTGAAATGGCTGTAGCACCCCCTGTGGTAGCCAATGTTAGCTGCTTTGACTAACTGGTTTGTAGGTTCCTGGCTTTGTAATTTGTATGCCTGTACTGCCTCTTCTGCTATAATACTTTCTCTGCATTCAAGGTCTTTCCACAGAAACACAGATTTAATAAATTTCTCCCAACTTATGTCTGTGAAGGGAATGGTGGGTCTATTTCCCTCACATATATGCATGCAGCACTTCATGTTTTTGCGATTTCATCCATAGTAAAAATGTGCGGGAAAAAGAGAAATGTGCGTTTTTATCATAGACATAATCAATACATAGACGCCCAATTGCCCGCTGGAGCGTACGTCAACGGTGCAGCCATATTGCGGAGGGCAACTTTCCCATAGATTTCATACCGGGAATTGAGAAAAATGTGTTTCGTGTGCTGCTTGGGGCTGTACAAATCGCCACACAATTGAAAACAGGTCTCGAGCAATTACTTTTCACAAGCAAGACTGAAAATTTGTTTCTGGTTGTATTTGGCCATTATATAATTAGAAATTTCAAAATACTACTGTTATTGTGTCACGAAATGTAGTTTTAATAGTTTTTCAGTCGACAATGTAGTTGTCTAAAGCTCAAATCTATGGTTTATTCGTAAAGATAGAGCCTATTTAAAAATTTTATCTGACGTTTTTGGAGTGAGAGATCCAGGCGCTCATGTACCCCACCTGGAACAGCCTTACCTCGGCTATAGTGCTTCTGACGTTTGCCGCTGGCTCTGATGTCTAGTGGTTAAACATGATATATAATTCGACTTGTGTATATCTAACAGGTAATCTTTGGTCTCATTAATCTATAATTTGTTCCTTGGCAAATCGTTTTGGCTGAGGGCAAAGTAAAGTTTCATAACTTTATATTTAGGCTATTTTAACGTTGTATCCTGCTGTAGATGTCTATGGTTTTCATGATGTTGTGTTTCCAAGCAATACCATGGATTAAATGTGTGAAATCAGAACGGTATGACAGGACATCGTATGACAAAAGATGGTTACATAAAATAAAAACAGTGACAATGCATAACGTTACCTCTACATTCACATTTTGTGTCAAACTGAATACGTAGCATAAGTGGGCAAAATTAGTTAACAAGTTCAATCTTTCCTGGGCTAAAATCACTTCTCGAAAAGATGTGCACAGAGCATAGACTGTAGGTCAGACAGCAACTTCATATCAGCGCGCCCGTGTGTTGACAAACGCGTCACCAACACCGACACTTTCCCACGCACGCTATTGGATGAAGGCAACAAATACGTCACGCATGTCGGACCCAACACGTAGCCGCCTGCTCTATTCGCCGGGAAAATAACCTGGACAAAGTTACCGATATTATAGTAATGTGCAAAGTATGTGAGTGGCAACAATTTTTATTTGCTTTGTTGAAAAGTGTAGTGGTTATATATAAAAAACTGGGTTATCCATCCCCAGAGATCGTCTGAAAACACGAAATCCCCCCTCGGCCCACCGTCTAGTTAGAGTGCGCATCGATCTGCACTTCGGATTCTGACCGGATATAGTAGACCATCCGGGTCTCTTTGGGACACTCATTTCAACATACTACGATTTGGGACGTACTATTTTCGAATACTATTTAGGACGGATAGTATGCGAATTGGGCCGCAGCATATGTGTTGGATTAAAGTAAACTAATTTACACGCATGGCTATAGGAAACTCAATTTATGCAAACGAATAGTAGCAATTTACTGAGAAATTGTATATATAGTAATTTGTAATATATATATATATATATATATATATATATATATATATATATATATATATATATATATATATATATATATATATATATATATATATATATATATATAACAGTAAATAATAAATGTATATTAACGTTCACATGAAATTAATTCATAATTAAAATTCATACTGAAGCTATTTATACGGTGAGGTAATTAAATCTAATTATATATATATATATATATATATATATATATATATATATATATATATATATATATATATATATATATATATATGACTAATGCAATGATCTCGAATAATCATAAGATATCTGACCTTTTGTACAGATTTTGTCATGATGACAGGCAGTACGAGTTGGGAAGGTCTCTAAGGTTGGTTAGTTTGACAATGTGTAGCCTACATTATTATTCCTGCCATCATTTATGAACGGACAAAAATATCTACAAATTATTATTATTTTTGTCTAGTCACTTAATTAAAGTCGTACGAACTGAAATATTTATTTGTACACAAAAAACTATTGGGAAAAGGTATTTGTCCTATTAAAATTGCAGGACTTTTATTTTGAATTAATCCTAAAGGAAATACGTAGCAAGGTCGTTGGTGAAAAAAACCCTGCTAGTATGACGTGCGACACTCACAGTTGGCCGACCGGTCACATAATGTAAGGAGCAATTACCAGACCTGTGATATCTAAGAGGATATTCTTCATTCACTTCTTCATTTAGTCTCAAGATTCACAACAGCTGGGACTGAGACATCAAGGCTCTTCATTTTAAAACTGATATTTCCTGTATAAAAAAACGGGCATTAGATAAGAGAGAAGAGTCTAGAAGAAGGGTCACTGTCCTCACCAAAGCGGACACCTGTCTGGATCTCTGAATCACTTTAAACGCGTTGACATGAGGAGTTTGCCTTATTTTTGCCGGGGGGAGGTTGTCCACGGATTCGGACGGGGAAGCAAAGACCTGGGCATCCCAACAGGTGAGAATAACACTTAAAGAAACATTTCATCCAAATAATACAACTTCGGACATAATTTCCTCACTCTTATATTGTTTCTCACCTGTCTGACTTTCTTCCGTGAGACATAGAAGTGAGTGTTACTTTTGTTGAATGGGAAAAGATGCAATAAAAGTGTACGGTAACTTAGTGACGTCAATGCCAAACATTCGGCTTAAAATGACAATACGAGTTAAATAATTTTTGGGTGAAAAAAATTCGTAAAGTAGCATTTTAAACTAGCATTATAATGTTATAATCATTTGATAATGTCTGCGCTTTATGAGTTAACTTACATTTGATATGTCACGCGGAATTAAACCGCTACAATTAACTTAGATATTCAGTTCAGTTGTAAAAATCGATGCCAATAAATACTTGTAATGAATGTAATCTTTCAGATAAAGTTCTGCCCAAATTCATCTATAACGTGAATCTGGAAAATGCTTGATTATGAGCCACCACATTGAACAGTCAATTGTTTTTGCATAATAGGCAACAGTCAGGTTCGGAAGTAAAAAAAAAACCATTCATTTTCTCAAAATGGACATTGATTTTTGTTAATTTATTTTTTATCATACCTTTTAAACCTTTACAGACTTCTACTGTGATCTCTGAGGTTAATCGATGTTATGTCGAAGCCATCAGTTTACATTATTTCAACCATTTTCTAAATTATCATTAACAGCGGGATTCCTGATGGAAAAACAACATTACCCATGATTCATCAAATTAAATTTCCCAATCAGAGACTTGTGGCTCAAATGACATAATCAAAACAGTCTCTGCCCTTAAACTACTTAAATACTTGTGTGTGTATATGCATATTTTGCATATATTTTGTAAACGCACATCCTAATAAAATGTTTTCTTTCCATTCCGATCTTAGCTAACTTCCCAGAGTCGGTTGTGGACAATCTCCCCGCTGACATCAGCACCGGCATCTACTACGGATGGGCTCGTGTGGATAACGGAGACATTCACAAGATGGTGATGAGCATCGGCTGGAACCCTTACTACAAAAACACAAAGAAGTCTATGGTATTTCCATATCAACCTTTCTAGAGGGTTGATATCTTTGCATTCATTAAATGTTAATAGTGACGTAAATAATTAGTACATTATACAAGAGTCCGATATCAAATATCATTTATTTCTCGCTCTGTGTGACAGGAAACGCATGTGATCCACACGTTTAAGGAAGATTTCTACGGTCAGATATTGAGTGTGGCAATGGTTGGCTACATTCGCCCTGAGAGAGGATTCACATCGCTTGGTAAGACATACTGAGCTGCTCTCTTGAAATCACTCCCACATCACATGATCTCTTTGACGCCACAACACCCTGTTCACCCACCCAAACAAACTTGTTCACACGGTTAAATGAACTCACTGCTGTGTCTTCCTCACAGATGAGTTGATAGCAGCGATTCATGGTGACATTGAAGAGGCGAAGACAAAGCTGGACCTGCCTGAGCACTTGAAACTGAAAGAGGATAACTTCTTCAAGACGTCAGTATCAACAACAGCCAATCAGATCTTGAACGGCCATCGACTGTAACACTCACTTTCATGATCACCTGTATTTAAAGCCTGTTTATTCCATATGCAATTTGTTATTTATGTAAAAAGATGTCTGTCCCCAAGTGATGCTTTGGTCAAATGTAGGCACTATATGTGTATGTATGTTCATATAGTTCATCAGCTTTGGTTTCTGTGTATATATAGATAAAAGAAGGATTTCAGTTACTAGAATGACTGAGGTATTATCAATGCAGTTCACAGGTTAAACGTCACAGAGCCCTTCCCAGAATTCCATGTTTACCACAGACCTCACGCAATGTGAGTCAGGGAGAGTCAAAATATAGTCCTCTTTAGTGTGATCATTTTGCCTCCACCTTCAGTTTAATTTCATTATTGTTTAAGAAAGACTCTTTACATCAATAAAATGCTTTAACAATAGTCAAAATCGGCGGTCCTCCTCTTTGAGGTGAAATTAATGTTTTTTATGGTTCTCAGAGAACCGTGAGTAGAGGTGGAAGTCCAAGGTTGAGATAAAGAGTTAAAGCCTAGGTTGTTGTACTTTGAGTGTACAGACAGAACAAACAGTGAATGAAGACACTATCTGGATGTGCATAAGTACTGAAATTATTCCAGTGGTCTTAAATATTGGTGTGTACAGAAATGCTGTACATATGTTTTGACTATGTATATATGCACTATAGTACTAAACCTTCACATAAAATAACGGCTGCCTTTTTTCTTTTCATTTGGTTGAACATTTAATGGAGTTTTACATTTGTAAAGACACTCAACAAACAGTAAGAGTCAAGTTAGATCATAAGGTTTATAGATGTCTTTTTGATTTACCCGTTTCTCCATGTTGTTTTCCTGTATAATGCATGCTTGAAATGTTGCAGCAATCCTCTGTAAAGGTGTGGTCACATTAGTAAAATTTCGTGGGCAAAAAAAGGTTAATTGTCAATGGTGTAGCAATGTATGAAGCACAGCTCTGAGCTCACACAACTTACAAACCAATCAGCTTTCTGTTGGTCAAAGCAAGGGAATCCACCTGACCGACTTGAACCCGTTGCGAAATCTGAGGAAATTTTCCGTCCTCGCGCGAAATTCAGATCACGTGGATTCCTATTAAAATGACTAGATTTCGCCTGTGAAAATTCGCTAAACAGTGGTATATGTGACCACATCTTAATATAGGCACGGAAAAGCGATACTTTATGTTAATGCTGTGATCTTCACAAATATTTTTAGACACTCATCTAGACAGGACCTTTATATGTTAAACTGCTGCTTCTTTAAATGTTCTGTACTGTGCATGTTTTTTTTTTGTGTGTGTGTGTGTTTTTTTGGTCAGGGCAGTGCCTTAGATATGTAACATACTATCATACAGTGCACAACCAAGCATTCCTTCAATGTTGACACCTACTTGTAAGCATTAAACAAAAATGCCTTATGTGGTGTTTTACTGCTGTCTGTAATTGTGAAAGCACATGTAACTCTTTCATGATGTCACATAAATAATAGAGATGGGAAATGTGAACCAGAAATGAATCATTTCTAGTTCTGTGGTAATAGTAACATCTATTCTTAAATGATCTTGTCAGCCTTCCTCATCTGGTTAGCTTTACTTTCACAAACAGAATCATGTGATTAGACTCAATTTAATTTCTGGTATCATTTCCCTTACTGTAGTTAAGTATTTGTTCAGCTTTTTATTCTCAAGGCTAAGTGAACTGGCTAATTTTATTTAGTTCATTGCACACAATGCCAATAATATCAGCTGACATTTCTGTAAGGGTTTCCCATGTAATCAAAAAGTGTAGCTGGATTTGATCTAATGGATTACTTGCTGGTTAATCCTTGGTCACATGTAGGCTACACTTGAGTTCAAAAGTACGATTTTTTTTTAAAAGAAAAAGTCTAATCCTATACTGAAGCCAACTTTTGAATGGTAATGTACACTCATTTCAAGGGTTTGAAAGGTTAGTTTATGGTTTACTGTGCTAAATTCATAAAATGAATGTGAAATATATAACAACTTTCTGGCTTGCAACTGGTCTGAAGATCAGTTCTACATATAACTGCACTGATATTATCAGCAATGTTAATTTAATCAAGTAATCAAACTTATCTGACATAAACCACAACAACGAGCCATATTGCCCAATTCACCATGTGTAGATAACCGGCTGAATAATCAGCTATTGTTTGAAAAGGACTGCCATCATTACACTATAAATCATTCACAGGTTTTAATTACAATCATAAAGCAACATGCATGACTTGAGCATATACTGATGACACCACCACAGGATATTTAATATAACTTATATTTGTATTTGCACCATCCAAGCGGCTTTCTTCCATAAGAGTAGATGGGGACCGGGGACTGTCAAGAGAAGAAAAAAAAGCCCCATAAAAGCATACAAACAGTAGTCCATATGATTCATGACATGTGCTCCATTTCAAGCCTTCAGAATTCATTTTTCACTGCATATTTCAAGGGGTCATGACATGAGAAATCAAATTTGCTTTGAGCTTTTGATGTAATCTTGGCCTTTTTTACTATAAAACATCCTGCAACTTTCATACCTCATTATAAACAAATCATTTATTTAATCAAGCTCCAAAAATGGCTTGTTTGGATATTGTGGGATTTGTGACGTCACACGGGCAAATACATTTGCATATGACTTCCTCCAGAGCAAGACATCATGGTACCATAGAACTAAATGGCTCACACTTGCCTAGACCAGATGTGAGTGTTGAGTCAAAAGCAAATTGAACCAATTATAAATCACTGACACTGTCTATACTGGATGAAAACAGTATTCAGATGCCCGTTCCCTTTGTGACATACTCCATGCGCTCGCGTCTGCCGACATGAAGACAAATGGACAAATAAATGGAAGAGTAAAGGAAAGTTTGCTTTGACGTGTCCTGTTTAAACCACTTCAGAAGGATAACAGCATCAGGAACAAGTGGATGGTTTATTTTTAATGGCATCATGGATCAAGTCTGAGGATTATGTTTGTTCGGAGAATTTGACTCCAGGTTGTTTTGTGAACGAGGCACAGTGTAATGGAGAGATACTGTATCAAACAAACTTTTGTTGGCAGATGAACCAATCAACTCTATTGGATCTGATGGAAGCTATATTGAAAATAGCATAATAATAATGCTTTGTCTCTAAATTACAGTTTTATATGGATAAAGTTTTCAAAACACTTACTCGCGTGCAATAGTGAGTGGGCATTGATACTGCAGTGACGTTAGCCGATCATACCAGTGGATGTTTACTGATATATATATATATATATATTTTATTCTTTGGTGCAAAAAAAAAAAAAACGTTATTAACATAAGTGAACAAAGTATTTAAAAAATCCATTAATCCAAGTCGAAATATACTGAAAATTCATGAAAGTCACCATTGAAAAAGACCAGATAACTCTGACCGAACGTTTTATTAACATCATTAGAAGAACATTTGTTCTGAACTTTGAGAGAACCTTGCCAAAGTTCTGAGAACGTTCCCTGTTAGCTAGGAAGAGCTTGTACAGTCTACCAAATTTCTTCTTTTGTGTTTCACAGAACAGAAGAAATGGTCACAAGTGTTTTTAGAACAACATCATGGTGAATAAATGATGACAAAATTGTGATATTTGGGTAAACAATTTCTTAAATGGTTGATTGATGAAATTTAGTGGGTTTCTGCATGTCAAAATATTAATAAATAAAGTATTGTTATGCACATTTCAAAGAAAGTAAGCACACTATTTATGTTTTATGTGATAATATACATCTCATCATCATATTCCAGCTCCACCTCCTCCTCCTCTTCCTCTTCCCCCTCCAACATGCTGTATTTAAACTTCCGATACACTATCCCGTCCCTCCCCATGTAAACAATATCCTCGTCCACCTCCTCTTCATCCTCCTGGCCTTCGTTTTTATCGCAGTACTCCGCCTTTATGCTGTCTTTGAGGGTTGCAGAGGTGAACGGGCCGTCTGAGATTTTGGCATAGCCATTTGATTTGACGATGGGCTTCATGGTGAACCTCGGCCGAAAATGCAGGAAGAGAAAAATGACAAGCCACAAGCTTACCAACACAAATATGAAAGTGAAAACAACAAGGCCAGGATGACCCAAAGTCTCTGGATCGTTGGTGAAAAGGTTGTAGTTCAGCGCGACAATGCATTCATCTGAGAAAAGAGAAAAGCTAAAGGTCACATTTAGGACTGCAGGAGTATTCAATGGTTCCTCGAATACAATGGCTTCACATTAAAAGCTCAAGGCGTTATTATGTGAATCTTACAGATTGATATTGATGGCATGCAGTGTTGGGTGTAATCCATTAATAAGTAACAAATTTCTGTAATTTTATTAGTTACTTCTGATTAAAATACTGTGTAGACAAACAATTCTTAATAAATCAATAGTGGATTTAACATCAAAATTGAATGTCTAATGTTAAAATGTATGTTTTTAATGTAGCCTTCTCCCTTTGAATACTTTATTCAGTTCAAGAATAATTTATGCAATTTTATATTATTCTTTATTTGAAAGAGTCAGTTTCATTTCTATCCTTGTATTGATCTGGTCGAGGTTGGTATGGGATTTAGAAAGTAATTAGTAATGCAATAATCTAATAACACTGTTAAAATAGTAATTATTAATTACTTTTTTAAAGTAACTTACCCAACACTGATGGTATGTTTTCATTACATTTCAATTTAAAAACCCTGCACTTACAATAGAAGTCTATTAAGTTGTGTCGGGGTTTATGAGCAGAAGTGTGAGTTTATATTTTTGTTGTCAGTTTCATCGGTTATTCAGTAAATATTAATATAAAATCATTATCTTAACTGTAAAGCAGTTTAAATATCAGTGTTCTTATTGTTAACTAAAACAATTAAAATATGAATTGAAATAAAATATAAAGTAGAATGTTGCCTTGTCAACTAAATGAAATAAGCTAAAGTTGAAGTGCTAAAACTGACAAAGATTCTAGCTAAATCGAAATATAAAAATAAACAAAAATAACATGTAATTCAGGATTAAATATGTTAAATATTTCAGTTTAGAAGTTAATAATATATATATATATATATATATATATATATTAAGTTAAATATGTCAGTAAAAACTAAATCACTATGAAGCATATAATCAATAATGAATTAATTTCGAGCTAGTACCATTCAGTTCATGGCACTGGCAGCATTCCGAGTGGATTCTTGAGGAATCCATGAATGTTTTCTCTCCACAGCAGGGAAGACACCTCCCATCCTCCGAGAGGCGCTGAAGAACAGGGCACCAGGTGCAGTTGTAGGGTCCCGGGCCTTTACATTCAGTGCAGGATGGGTCACATGTTCCACATGTGTTACTCTGTGCAAAACACAAAGAATGTTAGAAAGAAGATTGGTTTAGAATAAAGTATCTGGCCAAATCCATTAATAAGAAAGGGGTGTGTCCACACACTTAACTATTAACCATTTAGTGTACGTTTGAATGACTAAGAAGTGAATAAAAGATAAACAAACAAAGAGAAAATTACATTTCGAAAGGTGTTGGTGCCACATTGACTGTATACACACAGTCTAGTCCGATTAGTACATGACTGATTTGTTAAAAATGTATTTTAAAAACATTTACCACAGGAATGGGATAGTCTCCGGTTAGACATGTAGACGAGCAGATTCCTCCAAACATTTTATAACCGTCATAACATGATGTACAGGAGATCGCCCCAGAGCCTGCTGACACCACAGACTAGTTCAATCATGTTGCGGTATACAAATCATATCTTCACTCTCAATTTTTATATGCAATCTTTGAATGGCCTTTCTTGCGATCCCAACATTAAGAAAACAAGGATGAACTTTATATTTGAACAATGTTCCAGATCGCGTCAGTAAGGCATTGTTCGGTAGTTCGCTTCATTTTAATGCAGATTCGTTTATAAACAAGACACAGTTCGACGCAGGCTTTTCCAGAGAGACTGAAATAAAAGTTTGAGTGTGAGTAACAATGTTTTTACCATGTGTTATTATTGCTTTGTCTGTTACAGATCGTTTGATATGTACTCGCTTTATTGCAACTGATGAATGATGAAAATAAGAACAACACTGCGACAAACAATGGTACATGTGTCAGTAGAGGGTCGAGGTCATGTGATGAGTCTTACCCTTGCATGTTTTACAGGTGGAGTGGCATCTTTTGCACTCTCTGTCCATAGAGTGAAGGAAATATTTCGATGGGCAAGTATGCAGACACTGTCCGGACTTTCTCAACAAAAAGTATCCTTCTCTACAACTGAGACAGAAACCGCTGCTTCCTAGGCATTCCTCACATGTGTGGTCGCACGCTTGACATGCTCTGCCAGTGGCATTTACAAAGAAACTGCAGGGGAAATACATATATGGGTTATAGAATAATGTTTTTTTTTTTTTTTGGGAATTAATAAAAATCACAAAACGTTTAAATTTGTAGTTGCATCAAAAGCAAGTCGGTTAGCATCATTATTACACGGCATTTAAAAATAACTGATTCTGATCAATTGTGGCAAATGTTTCTATATAATGAATCCTAAACTATAGATTTCTCCTTTGCCTATATAGCTACTTTTGAAACCTTCATGTTTCATGTATCATTCTGCAGTTTCTCTCTTTTCCCATCAACGCACATTAGAATAGGATAATGTCACCATCTTGTAAATAAAAACGATTAGCTACTGATAACAGTACAAATATCATTGGAGGACAAAAATGAGACATATGACCCAGATTATACCAATTCAACCTGTTCAAGCAGCATCTATTAAAATCCTCCAGAAAGTGGAGTAGAAAACCTCTCTGGCAGTTTTGCTGTACAAAATGGATGCAGTATGTTGCCATTTAGAAAAATTGGACAAACTGAAATAGTAAAATATTTGTTTCAGTTAGAACAGGATTACATGCTCTGTTGAGCAGTGATAGTGACAACAGCACTGTTAATGTGAGTCTTATGACACATGGAAAACCCCTCAGAGGATCCACTGTGCCCATTTATGGCCTTTCAACAATCTACTCTCTATTATAAAGTTTAAGTAGTTGAAAATTGAACATGCTGCTGTCATTTATTCACCCCCTGTTGTTCCAAACCCACTTTCTTCATTTGGAAGACTTTAAAATATCTCATGATGGTGAGGAATAGAGGAATAGAGCTTTTCCAGAGTAGCGCCATGACAGGTGTGAAAGCGAGGCTGTCAGGGTCAGGGATAGACTTACGGTGTTTTCAATGGCATCCACTGTAAAACCTGTATAAAAGTCCTAATTTTTCGTTTTTTCTCTACTTTTTTGCAGTGTTTCGTCAGCAGAACAATCCAAAAACACACTAAATAGCAGTACAAGCCACTGAAGATATGTATGACTATCCCTCACAACCTCGCTTTCATTCCTTTTAAAAATTAAAGATGGAACTGCTGTGAATAAGGTCTATTGTGGGTGAAGTAACTGTTTATTTATGCTAATGCTATTGTCATTTTGTTATTTACATTTCAAATTTTGGGGGCCTGTAAAGGCTCGTACACACCGGGACGAATATCGGCGCGCGTTATTCGGCAGCGTTTTTCAACGCGTTTTTTGTGTTCACACCCATGCGATTTTGGCTGACGATGAGCCGAGTGAACATGCAAATTCATTCCCTGACATTAGATGGCGCCCATTTGCTCTGCAATACCACTCCATAACAGTTCTCTTTTATCAAGATTTTTGTAGTCGCTGTCGCGTTTGTCATATAGTTCTTTATGTTCCGACACCAACGAGACCAGCAACTCTACATTCATCTTGCCTTGCATCTTCCTCGTCTTATTTCTTCCCGGCACAGTAGACGCTACTTGGCGTTTATCTTCTTCGCCGTTACGTATGTGTGCTCGGCAAGACCGTTTTGTGTTTGAGCGCCCCCAAGTTGTGTTTTACTGTAATTTCAGAAGCTCCAGACACGTGAGCAAAAGCGCCAATCTCATTGGTCGGATAGTTTTTGACGCGGCGCGTCAAACTGAAAAAACGAACCTGAGGCGTTTAAAAAAAAATACGCTTTTACGCGTGCCGTTTATCACGTCGGTGTGCACACTCACATTGGCGCCCTTTGTTTAGTCACGAGGCGTTAAACGTCGGCGAATATCGCGCGCGAAATTCGTCCCGGTGTGAACAGGCCTTAAGCGTATAAATACACATATACACAGTTGTAATCTAAATTGTGCAACCTCTTTTAATGACCTCTGCAGTCTCAAAATGATTCAACCCCCTGAATAAAATCCTTTACAACAGCACAAATCTGCAAAACAGGTGTTGTCTCTAATCAAGGGCTTCATTAGTTGCACCAGGTGTGCTTGAGCCATAATACCTGAACTGGGTAGGTTTGTTGAGTGTCACGTTTGCCAGCATGTAAGAAATATGGCTCAAAATAATGGTCCAACAAGTTAAGAGAATATATTTTCGCCCTTCACAAACAAGGAACATGATACAAAAAGATAGTGAAGGCACTAAATGTTCATAGAGACACCGTTGGAAGCATAGTTCGCAAGTTCAAAGTTAAACGAACAGTGGTTACACTACCTGGACTGGGCAGAAAAAAGAAGCTATAAACGGCTGCAACCACATTTCTGAGAAGACAGGTTCAGAAAAACCCTTGAGTGACTGAAGACCTGCAGCAAGACTTGGTGGCAACAGGCACTGATGCTTCAGCTTGCACAGTAAGGTGCGTACTAAACGAATGCAGTTTCCATGCCAGAACTCCAAGACGTACACCACTACTGACCCAAAAGCACAAGAAAAGTCGGCTCTTGCTGAAAAGAACACTCGTCTGCAGTTAAGCATGGTGGTGGCGGCTCGTTGATGCTCTGCCGCTGCTTTGCATCCTCTGGAACTGGAAACCTATAGCGTGTGGAAGGCAAGATGGATTCATTTTGTATATCAGGAAATCCTAGGAGAAAACGTCATGCCGTCGATGAAGCTGAAGCTTGGGCGTCATTGGACCTTCCAAATAGACAATGATCCCAAGCAGACCTTAAATTCCGGCTTGGTTGCAGAAGAAGTCCTGGAAGATTCTACAGTGGCCATCAGTCACCTGACTCGAACCCCATAGAAAATCTCTGGTGGGATTTGATGGTGGTTGCAGCACGCAAACCCAAGAATATTACTGAACTGGAGGCCATTGCTCATGAGGAACGGGCTAAGATCTCTCAGAAACGCTGCCAGTAGCTGGTGTCTGGTTATACATCTCGGTTGAAGCAGGTCATGACAGCAAAAGGGTGTTCTAGTAAGTACTAAAGAACATTGCCATGAAGGAGTTGAATAATTTTGCGACTGCAGAAGTCATTAAAAGTTGCATTTTCAGTTGAATTTGGGGAAACCACTTGAAACATTTGTTGTGTTGAGCTGTTTAATTACTTTTGTATGATTTGTTCATTGCAAACAACTGAAAGTCTGTATATTTTGCCAAGAAACTAATTTGCAATAGGGGTTAAATAATTTCGAGAACAACTGTATGTATATCTATATATGTATATATGTATATATTTATATGTATATATGTGTATATGTGTATATGTATATATATATACACACACACACACACACACACACACACACACACAGATATTATTATCATTGTTACAAACAGTTGCTGCTTAACATCGTGGAAACTAATATATATTTTCATGATTATTTAATGAATAGAAAGCTCAAAATAACAGCATTTACTTGAAATAAAAATCTTTTGTAACATTATGAATGCCTAGTACTTCAACTCCTAATGGCTCATTTAGGAAGGAAGGAATTGGAAGGAATGTCAGTAGCTTGTCATTTAGCTGGAGCTTTTCATCCAAAGTGACATACAGCATACTAATTAGAGAGACAGTCCTCCCAAGACTGCTTTACTCAAGCGCACAATGACATGAGTGCAGGATTGTAATGACGGCAGATTCTGGAACACCCCAATTGTTGCTTTTGAATCCCCAATGTTCTAAACACAGAGGAAAGTATGTAATTTACGTGACCCGTTGTTGTGATCTAAACGTTTTAACTGACACATTTTAGTAGAAAAACAATATAGAACATAAAGATGCTATTAGCCGGTGTTTGGAGTATTTGGATGCTTAAATCACATTTAAAAATGTCTGAATTTCATTGCAATACAAATGCAAACAAATTGCATTAGTGCTTTTCTTCTGCTATATCATATATATAAATATATAAAAATGTTATTATTATTGTAATAACATATATATATATAAATGTTATTTAAGCTCAGTAAAAAAAGCAAGACATGATGCCCATATGTGCTTCCCCCTAGGAGCGAAGAGTTAAAGCACACAAATTGCACTGAATGTGATTTAATTTTAAAGTGCCCCTATTATGCTTTTTTGAATAATACCTTTCATGCGGTGTGTAATATAGCTGTCTGTCAATGTAAAAGGTCTGCAAAGTTTTAAAGTTCAAAGTACAAAACAAATAAAGTCAGTGTTTCCTAAAATAAAGAATCTATTCTGAACTGCTGAAATGAGTCATTAGCAATTGCAGTCTCACTCCCTTTTACATGCCTATATAACAATGTAACAAATTTGCATAATGCCAGCCCATGCTCTTCATTGGCTGCCCGTGAACAACGTCTACTTTGACCCGCCCTCAAACACAGTAGCTGTACCTTGAGGCCTGGAAGAGTTTGGTTCGTGTTGTTGAAATGTCTAGAAGAAGCTGTTTTCTGCGCTGGGAATCCACTTTGCATGCATTTCAAAACGATGAGGGCTCACGATGGAATTAATATGTAAAAACCAGCTACATAGTTACTGTTCTTATCACTGTGTATCAAGCGCTGTGGCAGCCTTCGGAGCTAAAATTCAGATATGGTAATAGGCTTTTAATTTCCGACACACGCTGTAAGCACACGCTGTAAGGGGTGGTGATGGTGCAGTGGATAAGACACATGCCTTTGGTGTGAGAGACCCGGGTTCGAATCCACTGTGAGACACCAATGTGTCCCTGAGCAAGACACTTAACCCCTAGTTGCTCCAGAGGCGTGCAACCTCTGACATATATAGCAATTGTAAGTCGCTTTGGATAAAAGCGTCAGCTAAATGAATAAATGTAAATGTAAATGTAAGCAGTAGACCAATCACAACACACTGGACCATCTGACCAATCAGAGCAGAGCAGTCTCACTGAAAGGAGTTTTCAGACTCTTTAAGAAATGAGGTGATGCACAATGTATATTATAAGAAAGTGTTTTTTGAACTTGGATGCATGTAAATCTATTTTAGGAGACCTTCAAATTTTTTTTTTTTTTTCTTAATAAAGAATTATTTATATCATACCTTGGAGGACAGGAGGTGAAGCAGCTGTGTCCGAGCAGAAGCAGGCCTGGTTTACAGGTTACACAGTCATTACTGTGATGTCCACGGCATGACGCACAGTTCACGTGGCACTGAACGCACTCTTGCTTGTCCTCATCTGCATAGTATCCACCGGGACACGAGGACACACACGTTTGATCTGACAAATGACCAAAATAATGTGTACAACATATTACATTGAGCATGTATAATGGTAAACTTTGCATTTTTATAATTATTACTCAGTGCAGCTCTTCAGACATCTTGTATTTTGTAAGTGACAGCATTTGTAAAGCTTATTTATCTTAAGATTTTTATTAAAACTCATTTCAGATTTCAGTTTAGTTTTTGTTACTTAGATTTTAACATTAATAGTGTGATAATTATTTTAGAGAAGTAAGTATGTTTCCACACTGGAAAATGAAATCTGGTGTTTAAGTGAGTTCTTACTGAGCAGGAAGGTATTGGGGTTGCAGCTGAGGCACTGCTCTTTGCTTGCGCCCGAACAGCGGAGACAGCTCTTGTGGCACGACTGGCACTGCCCGTCCTCACCCATGAATGTGCTCAGAGAGCAGTCGCTGAAGAACTCACAGTGCCCGTTAACATCTATCCTCATGTTCGCTCTGCAGGTGAGGCACGAGGACGGGTGAGGACCTGAGCACGTCAGGCAGAACTTGTCACATTCTAAAAAACAGACATGTTTGATGTCAGCAAACAGACATGGTATGACTATCATGATAGCATGAGCTGTTCACCTCACTCAACTCACTCAACTCACTCAACTCACTCAACTCACTCAACTCACTCAACTCACTCAACTCACCTCACTCAACTCACCTCACTCAACTCACCTCACTCAACTCACCTCACCTCACTCAACTCACCTCACTCAACTCACCTCACTCAACTCACCTCACTCAACTCACCTCACTCAACTCACCTCACTCAACTCACCTCACTCACCTCACCTCACTCAACTCACCTCACTCAACTCACCTCACTCAACTCACTCAACTCACTCAACTCACCTCACTCAACTCACCTCACTCAACTCACCTCACTCAACTCACCTCACTCACCTCACTCAACTCACCTCACTCAACTCACCTCACTCAACTCACCTCACTCAACTCACCTCACTCAACTCACCTCACTCAACTCACCTCACTCAACTCACCTCACTCACCTCACCTCACCTCACTCAACTCACCTCACTCAACTCACCTCACTCAACTCACCTCACTCAACTCACCTCACTCAACTCACCTCACTCAACTCACCTCACTCAACTCACCTCACTCAACTCACCTCACTCAACTCACTCAACTCACCTCACCTCACTCAACTCACCTCACTCAACTCACCTCACTCAACTCACCTCACTCAACTCACCTCACTCACCTCACCTCACTCAACTCACCTCACTCAACTCACCTCACTCAACTCACCTCACTCAACTCACTCAACTCACTCAACTCACCTCACTCAACTCACCTCACTCAACTCACCTCACTCAACTCACCTCACTCACCTCACTCAACTCACCTCACTCAACTCACCTCACTCAACTCACCTCACTCAACTCACCTCACTCAACTCACCTCACTCAACTCACCTCACTCAACTCACCTCACTCACCTCACCTCACCTTACTCAACTCACCTCACTCAACTCACCTCACTCAACTCACCTCACTCAACTCACCTCACTCAACTCACCTCACTCAACTCACCTCACTCAACTCACCTCACTCAACTCACCTCACTCAACTCACTCAACTCACCTCACTCAACTCACCTCACTCAACTCACCTCACTCACCTCACTCAACTCACCTCACTCAACTCACCTCACTCAACTCACCTCACTCAACTCACCTCACTCAACTCACTCAACTCACCTCACTCAACTCACCTCACTCAACTCACCTCACTCAACTCACTCAACTCACTCAACTCACTCAACTCACTCAACTCACTCAACTCACCTCACTCACTCAACTCACTCAACTCACCTCACTCAACTCACTCAACTCACTCAACTCACTCAACTCACTCAACTCACTCAACTCACTCAACTCACTCAACTCACTCAACTCACTCAACTCACTCAACTCACTCAACTCACTCAACTCACTCAACTCACTCAACTCACTCAACTCACTCAACTCACTCAACTCACTCAACATTAAATTGCATATATTATTGCATCACATAATTTCATACACTCACAATATTTCTCAATGTTCCCTTCTTACACACACACACACACACACACACACACACAAGATCAACTGATCACAAGTTGATAAAGAAAGAGTCAAAATATAACAATTTCTTTTAGACCTTATACCTTATAAAACCATTTCAAAACTGGTTTCGCAGCATGGCACATGCATCGCCTTCCTGTCCAACACGATCTTGTCAATTTGAGGCAATAAACCCATAAATAAAGGAGAATAAGTATTATACCTCGACACTCTGCTCCTTCCAGGTATGTTCCTGATGGGCAGCGGAACAGGCACTTTCCGTTGTAACGTACATAAGTCGTCACAAACCCGGCCTTGCAGGATGTGCAGTCATCTTCATCAGGTCCGTCACATGTTGAACAATCACTGTGACAAGACATACACTGCTTCCGCTCTACATCTGTAAAGTACCCCTTAGGACAGTCAACAATACACTGATCCTCATGTAGGAAGTAGTACTGTACACACTCTGAAAAGCAGGAGAAAGATAAAGAAGTTTGAGAGAGGTAGTGGCAAACTTCATTGCTCGACAACTAAAAAGAGAAGAAAAACAAACGTCTAGAATATATAGTCTCTTATGCTCAACACGGCTGCATTTATTTAGTCAATAATACAGTAAAACAGTAACATTATGAAATATCATTACAATTTAAAATTGAAAGAAAAGAAAATCTTAATTATTCCAAACTGTTGACCAGTAGTGTAGCTGTGTAGGAAATTACTCACCTTGGGCAACAGTACACGCTACAGTTTAGAGGTTATTATTATAAAATAAAAAAATATCAATCTGTGGTGAATAATGTTGAGAACCTCACCAGTGCATTTGCCCGTTTGGTCACACTCGGCACAACTGTTCAGACAGAGCTCACATACTCCATCCTTTACGAAGTGCCTGGAGGGGCAGTGACGCACACAGGTGTGTTTGAGACGCAGGTGGTCTTCCTCACAGCTCAGACAATAACTGGCTTCCCCGTGACATGAAGCACATCCCGCAGCACAGCTGTGACAAACTTCTGCCTCTGGGTAACCTCTGTGAGGAAGCCACAGATATTATATGACCAGTGATTGAAAAAGTATGTTAATGTGTGGCTGTGTTCCAGTTCACATATTTCCCAGGTAATGGGAACGTATGGTAATGTACATACCTTTGAATATGAAGTAAGAAACTGCACAGGTATTATAGTACTAGACAATAAAATTGAGTCTTGATTCGCAAAACCATTTGTCTGTACTATTAGCTAAATACACTACTTTCAGGGCCCTATCATAAACCAGGTGCAATGCAGTGCCTGACGCGACGTAAGTGTTTTTTGCTTGTTTCAGCCTGACAAGTTATCATTTTCATGTGCTGCGCCACGTTGTTTAAATAGCAAGTGCATTTGCGCCAATTTGTGCGCCCATGTGCGTGCTGGTCTGAAAACGAGGTGTGTTTAGGCACATTGTTGGCGCATTGCTATTTTGAGGAAACTTAAATAGACTGCGCCATTGACCAACACAAACCTGGTCTAAAGTAAATGATGCAGTATTTATTTATTTTTGTTATTAAAAGGGCACATTAGTAAAAGGCTATGCGCCTATAGGCGGGTGCACACTCTGCTTATCAAGATTGTACTTAAGTGTACTTCATGTGCATAAGTACAATCTTGATACACTTTATTTTACGTAGGTTATCCCTGTGTAATATTATGTAATTGCAATGCAATTAGGAAGCTACCGCATGTATTTAAGCTGTGAACTAGTGAGTTATTTCAAACTAAAGTACATATGGATAAGGTTTGTAGATACACATGAAGTACACTTTAAGTACAATCTTGATACACTTTATTTTACGTAGCTTGTACCTGTGTAATATTCTGTAAATTTAATGTAATTAAGAAGCTACTGCATGTATTTAAGCTGTGAACTAGTGGGTTAATTCAGATGGATATGGTATGTAGATACACATGAAGTGGACTAAAGTACAACCTTGATACACTTTATTTTAATTTACATACGTGTAACAGCCCACAGAAGGTACAAAATGACCACTTGTAACTGCAGGCTTTTTTCACACCTTAGTAACATATTTAAGTACTTGTTACATTGAGTAGTACAAAGAGCTTTCTTATATAATTACATTGTACCAAGTTGATAACACGTATGTAACCGACTCGGCCTGTTACATATGTGTAACAGTAGCTGCCTATTACATGTGAATCTGTAAGTACAGGCTGTTCCATAACTTAGTTACATGTTAATTACATTTTGTTACATGTTATTACAACGTCTACTACTAAGTAATTAATTAAGTAATTACTCTGTATCACGGACACCGTAAAATAAAGTGTTACCAACGTTAGTTTCTTTACAATTAACAAGGTTAAAAAAAAATAAAAATAAAAAATAAAAAAAAAATTCTCTCAACAACTGAATAAAATAAAACTGTTTTCTCTACAACTAAAGAGGTTGAAAGAACTAAAAAAAAAAAAAAAAAAAAAAATACTACTTTAGGATTACTATGATTTGCAATGTACTTGCATACTAGTCACAACAGAAAAGTGTAAACTGTTTGTGCATGAGACCATGTGTGTGAATATGTAGCATTTTATGAGTTTTGAAAGAACGTTTTTTACCTTTTACATTCAGGGACACATTTTCCGTCCTGCAGATAGAGTGGACCATCTTTGCATTTCAAACACTTATGGGCGTCCTGACACGTCAAACAGCCTGCTGAACAATCTTCACAGCGCCCACTCGTCTGGTTCCCATGAGTCTCAAGTGGACAAACGGACACGCACATCTGGCTGTTGGTAAGAAACATGCCTGTAGAGACAGACAAACGCCCATGTAGATGACTTATAGATTACTAGTATATCCATAATGTTTTTCTGATAAATACTGATAAATATGTACACTGGAGGAGCTATTGAAGTTTAAAGGGTTAGTTCACCCCCCCCCCCCAAAAAAAAAATTGTCATAATTGATTCACCCTCATGTCGTTCCAAACCCGTAACACTAATTAATCTTCAGCTACACAATTTGTCGCTTCATAAAGTCTATAAAGAGATCGTAAAACTTATCCATATGAATTGAGCGGTTTAGTCGAAATTTTCTGAAGAGACTTGATCGCTTTATTTGATGAACAGATTTAATTTAGGGACTGTTCGTTATTTATTTAAGGGGCCACCGGAGGAGTTTTGAGATCTGTAGTCAAAAAAGACTTGACCCTCCCTTCACCAGCAACATTTTTTTCTATGACCCTCCAAAATCCTTGTGAAAAAAGGCATGACCCTCCCCGATAATTTATTAATTAGCCTACTTGTGTACTGGTTTTGGCAAAGATGTTCAGATAGCCATTCCACGATAAACGACTAAACTCCTGCTTTCTCATCTTGCGGCTGTAACGATAGACCAAACCTACAATTCGGTTCGTATCACGATTTTTGATTTGAAAAAAATAAAAATAATTTTTAAAAAATCATGTTTTCGGTGCTGATGCCATGGTGATGCGTTCATGTAAAATGTAAGGGTGGCGCTGCCAATACAGTATCTTAAAGCTGCCACAAAGAACCGGCAAAAGTAATGATTATGAATAATTTCAAGGGGACATTTTAATTGTTTATTAATAAACAAGTCTTTGTCAGTGTGGCTGCAAATATAAAGGTGATTATGCTGACTCGCGATCTTCGCAGTAGTGAACGCGCCAGAGAGAAATGCACATTTACGGATTACAGAAGCAGAGTCTGTCTGTTTTCTTTCGTTTTAAATTATTCTGTTAAAAAGTAGACATGTCAAGCTTTCTATATATTTAGGCCTATCTGTAAAAGTTTTAAAGTCACTTTCAGAGCGGTCATGTCCGTAACGGAGAACTGTCACGTCAGTAAAAAAAAAAATCCCTCATAAATGCGAACACGAAAAAAATAAAAATAATATTTTGTGTTATTAACAGTCTCAAACCAGGACAATTCGATGTTTGTTGTGGTTATGTCTTATTTCGACATAATGTGTGCTGCATGCAACAATCAAGATGTGCATTTGTAAATCCAGCTATATTTGCTTTTTATTAATTAAATCCAGGTTTGGTTGATGAAAAATTGATTAAAATTAAGATACAATTTATACAAAACGAAATTCACTTTAAAGAAAGGCTTTCTACAAAACAACACTTAATGAAGTGGTCAAAATCATGTCTGGCCATGTCTCCCGATATATTGGGTAGGCTATAGGCTATACTTTTCATAATAAACATAGATGAAAAAAAACATAATAAATATGAAACTAAATGCGCTTATTACGTCTTTCTTTTGTGGATTTCTTCAGCTCCTGATTGGTCAAATTCAGATAGATCGACAAATCGGGTCATTCAACTGCACAGCGCACACACCTCACGAATTCAAGCCTACAGCTCCCGAAATTTTTAGACATGTTTAAAAATTATCGTGAGGTCGAGAGGTTCGGCTCGGCTCGTATCTTCCTAGCACACACGAGCCGCAACATGCGAGCACAACCGATTTCCACGCGATTTCTCCCGAGTGAAAAAAATCATCTGCGAGCTTGTAAAACAGCAAAAAATCGCACCATGTAAGCCCGCCTTAAGGGAGTATGAATATATAAACAGACGTTTCAGTATTAAATGCATTTTCTGAGAATTTATATTTCAAGTTTTGACTGCAAATGTCACGTCCACAACGCTGGAATTGCCCAATTTTAAAGAATTTATCCTCAACAAGTTTTTTTGGTGTATGTCTACGTATTATTATGTTAACTTCAAATAATACGAATAGTAATTTAAAAATGTGGTAGCCCTATGTCCAACACATCACACTCCACTGTTTTTGTGGCAATTTCAGTAGATTTGCTCACTAACATTGTTGTGGAAACACAATAAGAATGGAAACTAAAATAGTATCGTGCTACAGCGCACATTAGCTGCAGTTCTGGCGCCTCAGTCCCATTACTGTAAAACTCGACGTACATTCACATCACATGTTAATGCAGCGGTAGACTAGCACTCACAGGACACTGCACTTATTCGCAATCCCAAAAGTTCATTATTTGCTCGTGCTTTAAAGCTTTGCCGGGTAAACATTTCATTGGCGTTCTGTTCTAATGCACTTTTTTCTGAGCGCGTAGCCTACTGAAGCGCGCGCGCACTGTCAGACAGCGCCAAACTGGATTTTTGTTGGGTCAGACCAATCTGATAGCGATGGGGGGCCGAGAGCGAGAGAGCTGTAGCTACATGGAAAGAAATATGCACCAAACAAGGCACTTTGAAATTTAGCTGTTTTGATAAATACAAACGTTAGGTGACCCTCCCCTATAGACTAAAAAAAGTTGGATGACCCTCCCCTCAACAATGAATAAAAAGACATGACCCTCCCCTATTTTCCTCCGGTGGCCCTTTCCATAAATTCCGAATGGTCCCTTAGGCTTTTATTCACATTTAAACATTGATCAGCGAACATAAACAGAAGCTCAACCGAACCTACTTGACACGTGAGAATGAACCTCATTGGTTCTTGCGGAAGCTCAAACGTGCTGCGTAACACGAGAATGAACCTCATTGGTTCTTGACATTTTAATTTTGGGGTGAAATATCACTTTAAATGGAGAATTAGATTTTTTTTTCTAATTGACTTGATTGTTTCTTGAATGTATTGTCTATTTTGGCCAAACTCTATTATGTTCTATTTAAATATATTGTGACATTTAGAAATCAGGTGATCATGTCACATAACACAAATTTATCATATTATAAATGAACTCTCAGTGGATTCTTAAACCTGAATGCCTTGGCTTTAAATGTTTTTTTTTTTTTATATGGAATAAATTCTCTCTTATCCAAAGAGCACCAGGAGAAGAAGATTTTATTGCACAATCTTGTTTCGCTCACCTTTCTCACAGGAATCACATTGCTCTTTGTCGTGCCCTGAACACGTCCTACAGGAGGAATCACATTGCTCACAGTCACCCTGACCTGCACACACACACACACACACACACACAAAATAAATTAAAACACATAATAAAGACTCATGCTTATTTTAAAAGATTTATAATTCAATTAAAATTACTATAATATAATATATGTTTACTTTTATTTAAATAATGAATACTTTAAATAATTTTTTTGAATATACTGTTTTCATACTGTTTGGGAAGGTTCTGTCAGAACACTTGATCTGGCTCTTGTTGATGCATTGACCCTTCTCCAGAAACATGTCATCTTCACAGGAATCACAGTCGTCATATTCCGGACCACCACACGTCCGACACATGTGGTGACACGGCTCGCACTCCTGTTTCTTGTCACCATAGAAACCCTCCTTACATCTTTCTACGCACGTGCCATCTGCAGGTAGACAGAATTTCAGTAAACACAAAAGTATTTGGGCAGATGAAGGCTTAACCCTCTAGTGCTGTTTGAACATTTTTGACAATTGTTTTTACATTTTGTCCTTTTAGAATTTTTTACTTCATCAGAATGGTACGAAACTTGCTATGTGAACACACACACACTCACAAAAAACAACAACATGGATATGATTCGAAAAGGTTAAATTGTCCTGAAAAAAGCAGTCACACTTGTACTTTTCAAAGTCAAAATTCACCACATTGGAAACAAATGGGAAGCGTGAGAAGTTTTCACGTTTCAAATGGGAAGGCCTCCGAGTGAGTTCATGTAACAGCGCAGCGCTACGTCAGAACGTAGGCTCACTATTGGCCAGAATCACAATCATGACCAGCGTCGGCCAATAGTGAGCCTACGTTCTGACATAGCGCTTGCGCTGTTACACTACATGAACTCACTCTGAGGCCCATATAGAAGAAAACGAATAGTTGAATAAAGTCGTTATTTTGGGGTTTTTTTGCACACAAAAAGTATTCTCGTCGCTTGATAAACTAATGGTTGAGCCACTGTAGTCACTCGGACTATTTTAACAATGTTTTTATTTACTTTCTGGGCCGGCAAGTTTCAATTACAATAGAAGCCTATGGAGGAGTGAGACAGCTCTCGGATTTATTCAAAAATATCTTAATTTGTGTTCCGAAGATGAACGAAAGTCTTGCGGGGTTGGAACAACATGAGGGTGAGTAATTACTGACAGAATTTTCATTTTTGGGTGCACTAACCCTTTAATGCAGTTAAACATTTTTAAACGATACCTGCTTGCTGATTAACTTTGGCAGCCAAAAACAAACAAACTGAAAGTTGAAAAAATATATATATATAAAAAAACTAACAGAAAGGATACACAACAAAACAAAATAACAAAAAGTGAGAAAGGAAAAGAAAACAAGAAGAAAACAAAAACAAAGTAACTGAAAAAAATGAAACTTGTTTTTAATTTGATGGAACCTTTGAAAACTCTAAATACCAAAAAAAAAAAAAAATGGGGGGGGGAAAAAACCCCTAAATTAAATAAATTCGAAAACTGGAGGTTTGGGGGGGCTAGACTAAAACTAACAATAACAGAGTGAAAACTAACCTAAATTAAATTGAAAATAAAAATATATTTTCATTTCTGGGTGAACTATCACTTAAAGGACAGCAGAGAAAATGCCATGACTGGTAAGTTCTCTTTCAAACGCATGTCGCTCACATACAGTACAGACATGAAACCTGAACACCAATACAGATTGGCATGTAAAAAAATAAAAATAAATGTTAGGCCTCATCTAACCTGACAGGAAGAAGCCTTCCTCACACAGGAAACATTCAGAGGCATCACAGGTCAGACAGTGATCATCACATCGAGCGCACTTCCTCGACTCCCCTTCCTTGTTCTCAAACGTCCTCTCGGGGCAGGTTTTGTGACAGCTCGATCTCAACCTGCAGAAATACACAATCTCTGACCCTCTAAAATATTAGCACACCAATTAAACACTCAAGAAGTCAAAAAGTAAGAGGCGAACTTACTGGTAATAGTCCGGTAAACAAGACATGCAATGCTCTGGATCCACTGAGGGAAAAGTCATACTGTTAATGCACTCTTCACGGAAACGGGAATATATCTCAAAGACAGCGATTACTGAAATGACAAGGTGATTTAGGAGCTTTGAATGGAAATGCAATTTGAACACAATTCAATTCACGATGCAAGAACGTGATACTGTGACATGTTCATTGTCTTAATCATTTATACAGAACAACTACTTTCCTTGGTTTGACTTTTTATCAAAGTGTGGGTAAAGGTGGGTAAGATGAGCAATAAAACTGTTTAGGAGGTGCGCCAAAACATAGTTTATCTAACTGAGCTGCTGCAGAAAAAATAAATTAAAGAGGTCATATAATGGTACATGCACTTTTACAAGTTGATTGTACTGAAATGTGTGTTGGCAGTGCCTCTACACAACCATCATAAAATGATAAAAATCCATCCAGTGTTTTTGTTTTAAACTCCTTATATGTTTTCCCCTGCCTCAAATTGAGCCGTTCGATTTTGTGACGTCACACGCTCGGAAGCCCCTCCCACGATTGTTGATTGACAGCATCGTTTCAACACAGACCCGCCCTCGCTCGTGAGCGAGCTGTCAATCATAGTCTGCGCGGACCGGCGCGGTCATTGTTGATATGCTGGAGCACTGTCTATGAGCAGAATGGCGTCTAAGCGATTGTGGTGTTCTGTTCTTGGGTGCAATAACGAACACAGCAGTCATTTTAATGTTCCTAAATCCGAACCGCTGAAGACGCAGTGGCTGAGTTTGTTTTCGAAGGGAATATTTCCCACGAGCAACGTCAATGCGTTCATGTTTGCGCGAATCATTTCTCACCAGACTGCTTTATAAAGGAGGATCAGTATAAAGCTGGTTTTGCTAAGAAGCTGCTCATGAAAAAAGGATCGGTACCAGCTATTCGTGTTCCTGCTGAACCTTCAGAAGAACTGAAGTGAGTGTAACGTTTTATTAAACTTTATATTAATATTTATATTAATCTTTGCAAATCGCTAGCTGCACGCTTCACAATGAATGCGTCTAAGGTTTACACTTAGGGTACATTACGGCATGTTTTCTATGTATGATGTTCTCAATATAATTCATAATCTCACGTTTATACTGAACAACGCGTTATGGTTATTGTGTTATTGTGTTACAAACTGTGTACACACAGAACAGAGAGGCGGGGTGAGCAAAGCTCATTATCATTTAAAGTCATATGCACTGAAACAGCGTGCTGAAAACAGAGCTGTTTTTGACCAAGTAAAATAAGTGTTTTCTTACAATACTAATGAGAATTTTTAATTAAAGTATATTACAAACTTTTAATTTAGACCCTAAAGAATCATACTAGCTTGTACAAAAATGCCATTATATGACCCCTTTAAGTGATGGTATGAGCGATTATTTACTGTTTCAAGCTTCAAACATCTCTTTTAGTGCTTCTCAGTTCCAAAAAAAAAGATTATTCTTGAAATAGTACATTGACCAGCAGAGGGGGACAGATCGTGGCTCGACAATGAATGGTATTTTACTAAACTACTCCCAGTGTGAGGTTTTTGTGTTTCTAGTGTCAGGCGGTATTCAACATCTTTTTTTTTTGTGGAAATAAATATGTATCTCTCCTACCTTATCGTTTTATCTCATTTAAATGAGCCGAAAAGCTGCGGGCTGATCTGATGTTAGACGCTTATCTGTGTTTTTACCACCTTGATCTTCTGACACACGGACTTGCTATGTCTCACAACCTGGTGAGCAGACAAACCTAGACAGCATTTTTGAGTTACGATGCCAAAAAAAAAAAAATGCTGCCTTGAAGAGTAGACTATGCAGGAGGCATATGGAGACACAGACCAGACAAACTCATAAGTTTAACAACTACAACAGATGAAAAGAGATACGGGAAGCTGTGAGACAGGCACAACCCCTATCATCTGTGCACTACACACACACCTAAGTGACTGGTGCAACTACAGCAAAAGGGGTCCAAAAGTCTGAGACCCCTAGTGAAAATACTTTATTTTGTAGTATTTTCTAATTTAGAAAAAAAAAGTCATATATATATATATAAAAATAAATATGCATTTTGTATTTTTGTTGAGTATCGTATTCGACACATCAGGCTTTTATGGCTCATATAGTATGATATAGTGAGAATATGTAGCTCATGCTCGAGGAGGAAAAAGCTAAAATTATATTCAGAGGCCGAAAACGCAATTTGGTGCAGTTGCTGATATTTATATGACCAAAAAGTAAGGTGGCATTCTGACAGCTTGAAATATAAATGAATGAGATCTTTATAGCAGTATAACAGACTACTTGCATAAAATGCATATAAATATCAGTAGTCGCTTTATATCTCCAATAATATGTCTTAGTTTAGTTTATGATCAAAGCTCTGTGATTTTTATTGTGGGGGCAAAATATATGTAATGCAATACAATGATGATTGAGAGATCGTGAGAGATTTGTTCCTCATAATCCTGATGTTTTATATTTGATATACACATTTTAACATGACTTTTCAACAACAACAAAAAAAAAAAGTAATTGAATATTACTAACAATTATTACTAACAATATAAAAATGTATTATGTTGAGCTTATAAAAATCATTAAAGATTTCATAGCAAAAAAGACGTGGTATAACCTGAAGGGAGATGTTTTTACAATTATACTAAAACGCCATTTATTAAATAAATCTATCAATCAGACGACAGAAGGCATGTAGTAGATAACAACAGTTTTGATCATGTTGATAATTTAGAGGCCTTAGAATTTTGCATATCAAATATGATATATTAAACTTTATAGGGTTAATAAAATAAGAATGAAGAAATAGTGCATAATAGTGCAAAAAATAATGTGTAAAATACTAAAGCTTATACTAAATACTAAATACTTAATGCTGACTAAAGAGGTCCTGTTCTTTTGCTGAAGATGTGATGCATTTCATTTTTTAAGAGCAAACCTTGTTCACACTTCCATCCAAATAATGAAATACTGACCAGTGAGGCAATGCTGACAGCCCTCTTCACAGGTCACACAGTCTTCATGATCTGGATCGGCTTCTTCACCTATACAAGCATAACACCACAAGTCAGCACTTTCATATACAGAAGCAATCTTGAGAACATGGAAAAAGAAAAATGCATGTTACAGATGTACATAAAACTAGATCATGTGTCTGTATTATGTATAAATAGAGATTTAAAGAGTGTGTTTGAGTTTGAAAAGACAGGAAAAAGCAGACGAGACTGTGTGTGTGGTAGCCCTGGAGGCGATAGCGCAGAACCCGTTTATACATGTCTGCCACTAATGATAAGAATTTCTGTTCCCCCACTCTCTCATTTGTGCTGCTATTTCAGTCTGACTTCTGCAGACAAGCTCTTCCCTCATGCTCGGCACATCTTTGACCGTGATAGCAAATTTGTGAAGAAGATTAGATAAACAGCAGTGGGTGTCGTGAGAAGCCAAACAACATCCAGCGAGTTCGATTTACAGATACATGTAGGCTAAAGTGATCTAGCACAGCACACCAAATGAGAGAGAAAACCTTCTGTCTAGTGGGGAGAATCAAACAAACACATGTCCTGGTCACATTGGCCCTCATTTATCAAAAGTGCGTACACCAAATTTCCAGCGTACACCTGGCATACACCCAAAACCACGGAGACTTTGAGATTTATCAATATGGACGTTGGTGTACGGCACGCTCAAATCCTACGCCAGCTCAGGAGGTGGTGTACATGTACGCACGTTTTGAGTTAGTGCAGAAATGCGCAGAAAACACCACAAAATGCACTGACAAACTAAAAGATATGATATATTATGACCCACTGTAAAAAAACAACAACAACATAGTAATTATAAACTTCAGTGTTTATTTTTGTGCAACATGGACTTCAATGTTTAATTTGTGTGACTTTACCAAAGCATTTGATTTGTAGCCATATGTATTCCTTCAGTTGCGAGCCTGTGCGCTTTACCCTGACGTTTCAGTAATGAAAGGCTTTCAATGACCAAAAAATAATTCAGACAGACAAAATAATAAAAAATACATTCTTCTTCTTTTAAATAATAATAATAATACAAATAATAATAACGACGTTCTTCTTCTAAATAACAATAAGCGTCATTAATAATACAAATCATAATAATAATAAGAATATTACAAATTGTCATGCAATTATTTATGTGAATGAATGGTACTCCACATCACATCATCATCATCACTATTGTACACCCCAATACATGTGACATGATTAGAAATTGAATGCTAATTGTTTCAAAAGACGTGCTGTAAAATAATGCATTGTGATAGGTCATTTCGGCTCCACGTCGGAGAAGTTTCTCTTCTGTGCCGTCTTCCGTGTGTCCATGGCGTAAAATGAGGGCGTGGGGGAAGCGGAGACTTGAATATATAGGGGCGTGTTATTCTAATGACGATCGTTTTCAGCCGCGGGATTTATCAAGGGCAGGTATTGCGTACACCTGGATTTCAAAGGTACGCACAGCTTCATAAATCAGGCGGTGAGAGGAGTGTAAGCATAATCTTACGCCAACATATACGCCCGTTTCTACGCAAGAATGATAAATGAGGGCCAATGTACTGCAACATCTAAAGATTAAAAAAAGTACATTTTTAGAGCCATTTTGATTTTGTGACCTTACTTTCATGACCATTAAGTACCCCCCTCGCTTTCTATAATTAGTATTATTTAATCTATTATCTAATCTATAATTATTATTATAAATTTAATTATTATATTATTATAATTATTATTTTTAATGATGACTCTTAATAGATTCTCATTACTGTTTATTTGACTATTACAATATACAATTACTGCAATTTTTTACATTACTGTTCAAAAGCATGAGGTAAGATTATATTCTTAAAAAGTATTCAATACTTTTGTTTAGCAAGGGTGCATTAAATTGGTCAAAAGTGACAGACATTTATAATGCAACAAAATATTTCTATTTGAAATAAATGCTGTTGGTTTAACTTTCTATTCATCAAAAAAATCCTGAAAAATGTATCAGTTTCCACAAAAATAAGACAAAAATCAGCAGACAAAAACTGACGTTTAATGACATATGTAGATTTACAAGAAGTTCATGATCATATGAATTGAAAGTTTAATGACATTTGTAGATTTACAAGAAGTTCATGATCATATGAATTGAAAGTTTAATAACATTTGTAGATTTACAAGAAGTTCATGATCATATGAATTGAAAGTTTAATAACATTTGTAAGCATTTTAATGTACTAATTAATCATTATGTAATGTTTAATAAGTTCATCATTAGTAAACATTATCTCATATTTCTTGCAATTTGAATATATATTAACTCCGTTAAGCATTGTATAATGTTTTTTTAATGATTTATTAATCAAAGTTATTAGAGTGTTACCAATTACATTTTAAAATATATATATAAAAAAAATTAACAGTAGTGTATTGTAGCAATTTACTTATTATTATTTTTCACATTACAGTAAGGAGAATGAGACCGTTTTTTGCATTAATAAAAATTAAAATAAGAAATGTTGGGAACTTTGTAGTGAAAAATACTGGCAAAAAAAGCTAAAACATTGTGGGGACTTTTTCACTGGGCCTACAGCTCATCCGATAATTTGATTTTCTGAAGAATTGTAATAATATTTGAATAATAAACTCCCTCACATACCAAAATGAAGTAACAAGAACCTTAATAATCACAAAAAAAAAGAAACAATGGAAAAAGTCAGGCAAGCCAATGGGAACATTCTAGAAAAGTTATGATGCAACTGACCCAATCCACACAGCAGTCTGGCACACGTCCCGTCTTTGGGGTAGTAGGAGGGGGCACAGTGGAGACAGTGGCCTGTGGACGTACACACGGTGCAATTTGGAGGGCAGGGATCACAAGTTCCCTTTGGAGAATGGAAATAACCCCCTGGACAGCTTTCACGACACTCCTCTTTAAAGAGGTACCGCTCCACTCCGAACTTATCTGTGTGAAAACAGAAACAGAATAGAAACAATGTTGAGAGCCTGTATTTTTCTCTGCTAAGAGAGGTGGCTATGACTCAGTTTACCTTTGCCACAGCGAGTACATTTATCAGGCCCCTCGTCTGAACATTCCAGGCATGTGTGGTGGCAAAGATGACACTGTCCATCCCTCTCGTGCTTCCCAGAATCACAGCCGAGCACACACTGCCCATTATCAAACAACCTGCCAAAGAATACAAAAGTGAAATCTTTTCCCCACACACTGCACATTCTGTCTCACTACAGCTGTATTTGGATATACTGCGGTGCTGTAAGAAACAAGTGACATGTTCACGCCTCACCGAGTGGACAAGCAGCTGATGCAGTCTTCACTCTCAGGTCCAGTGCACTTGTAGCAGGTTGAGTCACACAGTTTACATTTACTATGTTCGCTTAAATATTCCCCTGAAAATAAAATACAGACAACACATAAACTACATATAGATCCATTATATAATGACATGAGCTAACTAGAACATCCTACTTTATCTAGTGGGACTTTTATTTAGCAGTTGCACCATCCTTTGCTGGTGAATAATCCAAATTTAAATGATGATTGTTATATACTAATATTATAATATTTATGTAGCATCACAAATAACTTGGTATTTTTTTCCGGAAGGCACAATACGATAAAAACAGAAAAACAGGAAAAAAAGAAAAATAAACAAACAAAATTAAATGAAAAATAAAACAAACAAAAACCAAAATATATATAAAATAAAACAGAAAAATACAAATAAACAAAACGAAAAACAAAATCAAATAAGCAAGCAAAAACCCAAATGATAAATAAGAAAACAAATTTAAAAAAAATCTAATGAAAAACAAACAAACAAAAAGAAACAACAAACCAAATGATAAATAAAAAACAGAAAAATACAAATAAGCAAACAAAAAACTAAAGCAAATGACAAATAAACAAAATCAAATAAAAAATAAACAAAACAAGCAAACAAAACCAAGTGATAAATAAAAGAAGCAACCAAAACCAAATAAACCAAAACAGAGGATAAATGAACAAAACCAAATGACGAAAACAAACAAAACCAAATCAATAAAACAAAAATTCAAACAAAACCAAAAGACAAATAAGCATACTTGCATCTATACAAAAAGAGAGAAAAACCAAGTGCTTACCTGTTCTGGGCTTTAGTTTTAATTAATGAAAAAGACTTCTGGCTGAAGGATTGACCAGCTGACAATTCTGATTTCAGACAATTCAAAAGGCCATGCATATGCAGGATTCATAAATCAGAACACTCTCAAGAGAAGAAAGAAAGCTCATGCAGGATGCACACGTACAATGAGCCGGCCTTAGAAAAGATCAACTGAAATCGGAATATTTAGAAAAAGGGGATTTTGTGAGTTGCAATTAATGACCACGTAAAAAGATCTTGCACATACACCGTCGAATCACTTGAACTAAACCCAATATCTTTGTTAGCATAAACAAAACAAATCTTTTTCAGAAATCCAAGAAAAGATTATATTAATAAAGATGACAGTAACTCGAAGTCAAGTCATAAAGGCAACAGATTAATCTTACAAAAGCAACTTTATAACTCTCAAGGAGCCAGAATGGATACAAAACTATCCTAAAGTGATGTAATGGGACTGTGAAGAAAGCTAAAGACATTGAGTTAACCTTTAACCCCCAGGCCGAGCAATGTATCAGTGAGATTTCCTTTAGAGAGAGCGGGACATCTATGGCCGACTGACCCTCCAGATGACCTCAGCTTACGCTCTGATACACTCTATTCATTCAAATCTGACGATCCTGATGCAAACGCTCACGACCCTACATGACCGTAATGGAGTTGTCAATCACTGGACTTAAAGAAACATCGGTCCAAAGCCAATGTCGTCCCCGAGTTAAAGGAGTTTTCTCACTCAAACGGCTTATATTAAAAAGCTTAAGAATTACTTTGATATTCGACATAGGATTCTAACATTTGAAACAGCTAAAGTGTTAATAGTAATGGTTATATCATTTTTATTCACAAGTGACAATGGCTGAGTGGGAGCTGCAAATATTTCAAAAATGTTCCTTCTAAAGGAAACGGGCACAGGTCAAAACAAGGGGCTGCGCATATATTGTCTCTGTTAAAGTCATTGTGACCAGTGCACATTTGAGTTCAATTTCTCTCTGTCAAATGCCGAATTGTTCTCTTAAAAAAAAAAGAGCCTTTTGTGAGGAAACAAGGAGAAGTCGAATCATTCTCACACCACTTCACCACAAGAATTTAACTCCAAACAATATTTCTTGAAGTCAAAGTAAGCAAGTGGTTCAACAACACTAGATTTTTCTGATGACAAATGTGAGCGGTGCTTGTCAGCGTAAAACTCAACACCAAAACACTACGGTAGTTGTTTATGGATCCAATTCAAAAGTCTCAATGACATTCTGGACTCTATATATGGCTCGGGTCACTTCTATGCAAGTCTATGGGTTTGTTTTCGCCCATTTACGGCCAAATGAAAATTTTCATTCGGATTATCCCTCTGGTGATCCTTGCGTGGTGGTCAAAAAATGTTTTTCAATGAAATGAATGTACTTTATTTTAGTTTTATCATTTTTATATTTATTATTTTTATGGGATTTTATTGTACTAAATTATATATTTATGAAGTAGACCTGAACATAGACCTTAAAATGAAATTTCCAACTAAACTGTCATTAGTCTTGAATGCTTCGGAGCACATACTTAAAATTGGTCTCTTTTTAAAGAAGACACTTGGCAGATTATTTCTTAAGTGAGGAAAGTAAAAGTGAACAAAGTTGTAGAAGTTTACGTTTATTGTTAGGAAAATGCACAAAAATACTATTTTCAATTTTTATTTGAAAAACATGCTTCAAAATATTACTCTAAAACTGCAAGAAAATCAAAGCAATAAATCGAAACTAGTTGTGTTCCAAATTTGCGGTTGATATCTTAAAAAAAATTACCAGTGAGATTTTGTTGGGCGCAGTACCAAATGTTTCCACTAGATGAATTTCATTTCCAATGTGGTCATTTTTGACCGCGAGGGTTACAAGTGTGACTTTTTTTTTTTTCAGGACCATTTAACCTTTTCGAATCATGTCCATGATTTTTTTCCTTTTTACAAAGTTTCGTACCATTCCGATTAAGTAAAATTTGACGGTCAAAAATGATCAAAGAACACCAGTAATTTGAGCTAGTATGTCATTTGAATGAGCAAACAAAAGTAGTCTCATTTAATCTCTCTGAGTCTTGTTTTTATTTTAAAGTTCATTAATAAAAAGATCAGTAAACCATTTGTTTCGTCCAGTCTTCTCTACATGATAAAACATTTTCTTTTCTTGGCCCTGACTACAAACACATCTTCATCTAGACTAACTGTTCATGGCAGCCGGCTAAAAACAGAATTATAAAATAATTTTAGAAAACTCATCCGTTTTCCCCCCTTATTTCAATTGAACGTGGGTGCAAAATATATTTTAAGGTTAATAGAGATAAAAATACATATATACATTAAGAAAAAACGTTGCCAGAACAGAGTAAATGCAACACATTTGAACATAGACTGATTCTCTATATAACATTAGTTATGTAACGTTGCATGTATTGAGTTTGCAAAAAAAACGTACATCATACTACAACTTTTTTTGCGTCATGAATACTCAATTAGCATTAAGTGGCTGCAACGCCATCCACAAAACACAACTCATTTGAACTATGACCATTTATAAATCTTTTTCATAAATAAAAGGCTACGTCATCTTTTAAACCACAGCATTCATAAATAAAAGACAGAAATCCCCTTAACATTGAGCAAAAGTGGATTGGTCGAACATGTCCTTAATGAATGTAGAAGTCTAATTTGTGTTGTGTAGTACTATTAGTATAACTAAACATTTCACCTCGTTTCTGACCTTTATTAAAATGTAATACACTCCCCTCAAGTATTTTTCTTTTCTTTTCCCCAGGATACTGCAATGGCATACAGTAAAAATGGCCAGTATGATAAAAAATAAACATCTAAACTAAAAATCTATTTGAATTCACAAATATTTGTTGGACGTAACGAATCCAAGACACAAATGTGAATCCAAAAAGCTCTCTCTAGGAACTCCATTATGTCAATAGCACCAGTTATGTGAATAAAAGACTTATTCTCCCATAAAGACATAGAATAATGAACTATTTTAGGTGGCCATTTCAAAGTTGATTAAAATGGAGCGGTTTAACTTTACATTTGCATGATAAATCAATAAAATATAAATAGCTGACCCTGATCTACCCGGACACACTATTCATTTCACATGAATTATTTAGGATTAATATTGTGGAGCTGTTTCATGAAATGGCAAGATACAAAAAAAAATGCATGTATAGGGATTTATTTCATTTTTTAAAGGCATATCACGAATGGCCTGGTAAGGTAAAATTAATTAAAAGTGTTTCAAACCTCATTTCAGCTACCACGACTAAAACCTGTACTTCAGCCCAGTCAATGTTTCTTCATGGCTACACTAACACCGGTTGTGGTTACGCTTAGGTTTCCCGAAACCTATTTTTCCACTTGTGAAACGATAATGAAACACACAAACACACACGCAATCACACACACACAAACAGGTAAGAGATCTGAGCCTGAGGTGAAGAATTTCTGAACAGTGAGACCACCTGACATGACGGCATTCATCAGCTAAACGGGTCATTAGTGTTAGTACAATACTCATCCCTTCAGGAAAGTACTTCTTATTGTATCTTGTAATGATTTTACTGCAGCCGTGAAGATCAGGGGATGAACCTGCGCTATGGTTTATGTCGTTCCTTTGCTCACAGAGGTCTTGTTGAAACTTGTAGAGGTTCTCTGAGTGTGCTTTATTCAGAATATGCACAAACTGGCTTTGATCACTGCTGTCATAATGCGTGAAACTAGCGGAAAAATAAAGAACCGCCTCTTCAACGCTCAGCATGTCGCTCCAAATTCTTCTCTGGACCCAAAGGGAAGAAAAAGGTACAAAAATTTTGGCATCCATGCTTTGGTCACAAAATACCGACATGTATGATTTGCTGTTTATTACTGATCCCAGTCGCACCACCCTGACAGCTTCTGTCGATACGCACGCGCGCACGCACACACACACACACACACAGACAGACACACAGAGATAAAGGTAGGTTTGTTGTAGTTCTGGCATCGAGAAACCTCACAATGTAGTCCCATATTCGAGGTTCCCGACCGGAATATAAATTAGCGGAACGTGAGCGGCAAGTGGGGCCGGAAAAGTTCCTTCAGCCCTTTAGAGAACATGTTCTACAGCACAGCTGCTGCAGAACCTTCCTCTGGCACAGATTGTTCTTTTTCACTAGCACACAGAAACTTCCCTCAGCCCACGATTCTTCATTTGCTTTCCAGAGAGCAGGAAGAGGAGAGAGGAGCAGAAACACAGCGCGCGGTCGGGCAGCGGAGAGGAAGCGATGCAGATCATAGCAAGGTGATAGATGACAGGCAAATGTTGTTTTGTTGGGTTTTTTTTTTTTATCCAGTTGATTGTTCGACGGACGGAGGATATCCGGGTGTGATTGGAATCCAGGATGAAAAGATTTGAAGGAAAGATCATCGGGAAGAAAAGGAGAACAAACATTTAGAAAGTGATTTAATTTTTTTTTTTACAGTGTCACAGGTTGACAGAGTAACTTTATTTTCCTTTGCTAGAAAAAGCACACATTATGCTCCACTGTAAAAATGAAGCCCATGTTGAACTCAAGGTTCCCAAAATGCACTTGGGTCATCAGAGGTAACACTTTACAATAAGGTCTCATTTGTTAACATCAGCTAATATATTAACTAACACGAACTGACAATGAGCAATACATTTGTTACAGTATTATTATCATCTTTGTTCATGTTAGTTAATAACAATACAGCTGTTTATTGTTTGATCATGTTAGTTCACAGTGCATTAACTAATGTTAACAAAAACAAATTCTGATTTCCATAATGTATTAGTAAATGAAATATTAAGTATTGTTCATTATTAGTTCATGTTAAAGTCCTGTTGTGGTGAAAAAAGTTTTTAATGTTGTGTTTTTAATATGCTTTAAGACAAACCATGTGCAAATTCATAAGTCAGCATTGCTGAGTATTTTTTTGACGTCACAAACTACCTTGTAACCAATCACGTCAACGTGTGATCGTCAACGAGTGGATCTCTGAGCTGGTGTGAGTGAGTGGAGGCGGGGCTCATTTTCATATTTATAGAAACGCGTATACTAAATGAGGCATGGGAGTAGAGTTACATTCAAGCTATTTTAAGGCATGAAGACATTTTTTTTCCAAGGAAAAAACGCCTAAATATGTCATTTTGGTGATCAAAGATGAGTTTACTTTTAAGGGATAAAATTATTGACTTAAGTAGTAAACTAATGAAACCTTATTGTAAATTGTTACCCATCAAGAAAAATTTGAGAACAAATTGGCCTGAAATATTGGGCACATCTCGAGAAACCAGACATATTTCACCTCAAAATCAGAAGAAATTATGTTAAAAATTATATTTTGCATTAAATTAGCCTTATAACTATTTTAAATCTATAATTAAGTAATTTATATGAATACATTTTCTTAATGTAAAGTATTTATGGATCATATTTGTTATACTGCAAATATAAATTTAAAAACCCATTACAAAAATGAGAATCAATATTGAGAATCATGGGAAATAACAGTACTTTTCAAAGGTTTGGGGTCACTACATTTTTTTTAAAGAAATGAATACTTAATGCATTCAGCAAGGAAACACTTTTACATTAAAAATGGATCTTTTAAATATATGCTGTTCTTTTGAATGTTCTATTCATTAAAGAATCCTGAAAAAAATCACAATACATCACAACTATTTTCAATATTGATAATAATAAGAAATGTTTCTTGAGCAGCAAATCAGCATATTAGAATGATTTCTGAAGAATCTTGTGACACTGAAGACTGGAGTAATAATGCTGAACATTTTGTGATTATTTCACAAGAGTAAACTAAATTTAAAAATATACTCAAATACAAAAAAAGTTATTTTATGTAATATTTAGTAATGTTGGTCAGCATAACTTCTGTACTCAGAATTTCAACATTCTGACGTTCTGTAAAACATCCACACGCACAGTAATAAGAATGTGCTTAAATCTGGAAATCCAAATCCAGAAATCCCCCTCAAAAAAGTGTTTGCAAAATAGAATTTTATATTTATTTTGGGGTGAAATGTGTTCTGGACATGTTTTTCCAAAAAGGCAATATCAGAAAGACAAAAATCAACAAACCATGATTAATCCCCATGCAAAAACTAAAATATTTTGTTGTACAAAAGATTCAGAGGAAAGAAAACACAAAATGAAGAGGCTAGCCGAAAGCTAACACGGATGAATCTACGGTACTCACCATCTTTGCAGATGGTGCTGACGACACACACACCATTTTCCAGGTTATATCCGTTGACGCAGGTGCTGCAGTTCCTCTCCCCCGGGCCTGCGCAGGCGTAGCATGTAGGATCACACCTGGAGGCACAATCACACATCCGCCACGTGTCAAACGCATCATTACCGCCTTCAATGGAAACACTTTCTCAGATGTCACATTCAGCAGTGAAGTACTGACTTTTGACAGGACTTTTGGACGTCTCCGTTGTCTGTCGTTTGTTCCGCCAAGTAATATCCCACGCTGCAGCTGGAGACGCAACGCCACTCCTCGAAATAATAGCCCGGAGCGCACTCATTACACGCTTCCATGCCAGTTCCTGAGAACATGGATGGCATAACATCATGTTCCCCAAAAAGCAGACCGCAAATAATGTGGAATACACTTTGGAATGTACACACTTAGAACCTCCTTCCTGAAAGGGTTTCTTCTGAGAATGCTCAGAAGGCCATCGGCCATAGTGTATTAGTTACAAAAAAAACACAAATAACTTGTGACTTCACATATCATTAGGGATGGAAGCTAATCTCAGAAAGAATTAATTCACTGACTTAGAGGCGTGGACAAAATAAACTCGTGCAATCTACATAATTATGTAAATTGCGTGTTAGAAATCAGGAATGGTGAGAGAACATTGTGCTTGGCACGTTCTTCGTCTTCAAACCAAACTTGGGTCTTCAGCCGACAAAGTTTAAATCCTGTCTGGCTAGCGCGCTTCCCTTAATGTTTACGCATTAAGTTAGTAGGTGGAGAGAAGGTGTCTTTTGTGGCGTTTACACTACGAAAGCAATCTGGTTGAATAGGTTTTTGACTACCTCTGGAAGTGGTCGAAAGTGGACAAGCTTAAAACGTTTACACCCCGTTTACACCCGCATTTAGTGTGGTCCACTTGTGATCCGATCGACCAAAATGCATCTTAATACCAGGCGTAAACAGGGCCTGAGAGTCAAAGGTTTCTATTTACAGTGTGTTTTTACAAGCGTTAAAGTAACAACAGGTAGTTTTTTGCTCTCGGGCTCCCCCTACAGTTGGGAAACAGTATTGTCCTCTACTAGTGTCGTAAACTGTCATCCTACATGCACGTGCATTTGTTGACAACCATGATAGCCCTGAACACTGTAGGAGGAGGTCACATGCAGGTGTTCTCGCGTGTGTGAAATGTCTTCATCCCAGGTACAGTGGCATATATTTCAGCATGTCATATGAATATAATTTCATGTGTTTTATTTTTTTTATAACGACAAATGATCGCGTTTACAAGCCAGCGTCATTATAGTAGCCTAGTCTATTGGTTACCGTTTTACTGAATCTATATGATACTTCAATGCAATGTTTGAGTGGTTGATAATAACCATATATCGTCAATATTATAATATCAAGCTACCATAAATGAATCTGCAAATTTTCAAATCGATTTGCATTATAGCTTGAGGCAAGACAAATAAACAAATATCACAGACATGTTAGGTATCCTAAAATATGATTTTATTAATAATCTTCCTCCTTTCTTTGTACATGTTGAGTAGACTACACTTTTTAGGTCAAACATTTGCTATTTGCATTTCATCGATTGCAAAGTTCAAATCAGAACGAGAATACTAGCGATAGCTAACCATCAAAAACTAGAATATCGTTTACTAGCTACCAGATTGATAATTCGCTACTACTCTAGCGAATTAGAGAGGTTAGAGAGAGGCATTCTTTTTTCGATGGGGGGGTTCGATGCTCCCTGCACACGCAAGGTCTCTCGCTCGCTTTCTCTCTCTGCCGTCCGCGCGCGTTGGAGCACAGTCTCTGTCTCGCGTGCGCGCTCGCTCTAGATTCCGGGAGATTTGAACTAATTTGCGGTATAACTTGTCGATCACGAGTGGCTCAACAGGTAGAGATCTATAGATAAACTCATCTTTCAGGCATTTGACCGACCGGGTTGACAATTTAGCGTGAGAAACCGGGGGTGTGGCGTGTGAGCGTGTGAATGCGGGTGTCTCACGGCCAATGCGTGAGAGTTGGCAGCTCTGCAATGTCGATCCTCGTTCTGCCTTTAACGCGATCACTTTCTCTTTTTCTCTTTTTGCTTTGCTCCGATAAAACCTTTGCTTTCTTGTTTTTCTGTGCTGCTTCGGCCATGACTATAACATTTGGCTCGCAAGTCCGATTTTAAGGAAGTGGGGGTGGTGGTGGAAGTGACGTATATGCCGTAAAGCAGTCGAATTTTGTAGTTCTCTTTGTTCGCCGGTTACTACCCGAAACCCGAAGTTTAAAAGTACGATTAAAAACGCTACAGACCCCGTCAGGCTATGGCAGACGTGTCATTCAACCTATTGTAAGTCGATGTACCATCACAAGAGACTTGGAAGTATATTATGAAGGCTGAAAAGTTACCTGTTGTTACTTTAAGCATTTTAGTGTAAATGCAATCTACATACGATTTTCAGTGTACAATTGAGATAACTCCCGTTATTATAAAATAAAGCTTTCACGAGAGTGCAGAATTCATTTAGCTTGCGCTTTAGAAAACGACAGCCTTAGTGATCATAAAGGGAGGCTCTTCTCTTGTGTTCTGTTTATTACTCATTCACAATCTGAATACAAGTTTAGTTTTTCATGCTGCCAAGTACACTGCAAAGTTTCTGGATTGAGAATCGTATTTAAATATGAGATTGAATCGGAAACTGCGATGATTGATAGTGTTAACAAATCGATGAGACAAAACTGGACAACATTTTTTAAAGTACTTAATTCTGCAGTTTTTGATACCGAAATTGGTACAGCGAACTGGTGTTACTGGATGTTACTGGTACCAAGTAATGAGATTTTGGTACCGTGATAACCCTAACTGACATATGTCATAATTATGAGTTTTTGTCATAATTTCGATTTTAGTAAAAATGACATACCAATAAATAAAAAGCCAAAACTGACATGAAAACTCAATTATGAAATTATTAGAACCTAAGTAAGAATTGTGAGATAAAAAGTCAAAATGTCAGAATTATGACTTTTTAAAATCACTTGATTCCAATTTATATACATTTTAACTTATGAAAATTCTTATAATCTTGTTTTTTTAATCTCACCTTTTATCTCATTTATGAATGTCAATTTTAATTGATCTCATAATTTTGACTTTTTGTATAATAATTATGACTGTCATTTTTATGATTTGTCTGGTCTGATGACTCTAAAGGTCCATCAAGACGATGTTCATTACTTAAAGATAATTTGAAACGTGATGAGCATCATAAGTGTACACACACACACACATATATATATATATATATGCACCTTTTTTAAAATCTGGTGCAGAATCAGAGCTAACAGCAGTAATTGTGCTGGATGAACTATATTCAGAAGCTAAGCACTGGTTGTTCTGCAAAGCCTTAGTAATTAGCTGCCGTTTCTGAACACTGGATTTAACAGCACAGACGTAATGGTCTCAGATGGCACAGTCTTGTTAAGACTAGAACTTCAAAATTACATACTGTGCATCACAATGAATATAACCTCTCGCCATTTTTGGATTAAAAATTGCTGACCAATAGGGGCATATATGCATTACAAAAAAATGTAATAGCCAATCAGAGTTCTCTTCCACAGTTTATGGAAAACAAAGACTACTGTAAAGTAATATTTTATAAATTACATTTAAGTGAAAGGTTGTAATCAAATTCTATTGTAAACCTAAATGGAAAATAAAGTCCTTTAAATAAATGTACAATGTTTACCTGCACAGGTGGCACAAGTCGTGTGGCACTTTTCACATGCCCGTCGGTGCCCATTATAATAGGTCCCAGGTTCACAGCTTAGTTGGCACTTATTCGCCTGTAGGCTGTCGAAAGAGAGAATTACTCAAAAAGGGTTCAACGCTGAGGCTGAGCCACAAATTTATTTCTTACACTTCACGTCACTGTAAAAAATTTATTGAGGGAGCAAACCTCCATAGGGGGCGCCAGAGCATATCAGGGGAGAAGGATAGTAAATGTACAAATAAAATCAATATAATAATAATAATATACGAATAATAATATATATATATATAAACAATAAAAAAAAAAATCAAAATAATGATATATAAACTAAATATAATATTCATGAAAATTAATATTATGTAATATTTCTAGACCAGGAAAACAAACTCTAAAATATTTTATTGGATAGAAATTGCCATTTGTGAGTAAAAAACAACAACATAACTGTTAATCACAAATGACTAGAGAAGTCATGCACATACATTTATGTAAATAAACCCTAAAGAACATTAAGCTACTAAAATGTCTGGAATTTCTTTAATTATTTATAATACTTTTATTGAATTATTTAAAATAAAATCACTTATGGAATTTCTGTGTGGGTAACATTTTGAATCATTTATAATGTTTTTTAATTAATCACATTTAATGAACACACTCAATTGACAACCCAAGTTTTAACATTTTAATTATAAATTATGTTGCTAAAACAACACCTGTAATATGTGAGGAAATATCTCTCAAAATGGTTAGCATTATAGAACAAAGGTTTTATTCTTTACATTTATTCTTTCTAGCATTAGTATTCACTTGGACACCGATTAGTACTAGTATTTCTAAATATATATATATATATATATATATATATATTTTTTTTTTTTTATATACGTTGCAAAAACCTAACCTTTCATTGAAGTAAAAGAATTGAAAGTGGGGGGTGAATCACATTATGAAATAAATGCTTTTCCCCAAAACACGTTGGGAACAATTATTTTCCCCCTTTTATTAAATGCTTTTTGCAACCTCCTTTTTCCAATATAACAGCTCTGAGTTTTCTTATATAATGCCTGATGAGTTTGGAGAACACCTGACAAGAGATCAGAGACCATTCCACCATACAGAATCTCTCCAGATCCTTCAAGTTCATGTTGGTGCTTCTTCTCTTCAGTTTACCAGACTCATTTTCTATAGGGTTCAGGTCTGGGGACTGGGACGGTCATGGCAGAAGCTTAATTTTGTGCTCAGTGACCCATTTTTGTATTGATTTTGATGTTTGTTTTGGACCGTTGTCCTGATGGAAGATCCAAACACACCCCATTATAAGAATTCTAGCAGAGGCCGTCAGGTTTGGATTTTTTATCTGTTGGTATTTGCTAGCCTAGAATCCATAATACCATGTATCTGAACAAGATGTCCAGGACCTCCGGCAAAAAAATAGGCCCACAACATATAAGATCCAGTAGTATATTTAACAGTATGCATGGGGTACTTTTTATCCGTTTTCACCAAACACATCTGGTGGGTTTGCTGCCAAAAAGCCCTTTTTTTTTTGTTTCATCTGACCATAGAATCCAGTCCCTTTTGAAGTTCCAGTCATGTCTGACAACTGAATATACTGGAGTTTGTTTTTGGATGAGCGAGGAGGATTTTTCTTGAAACCCTCCCAAACAACATGTGGTAATGTAGGGGTTGCTTGATATATATTTTTTTAGGCTTTCTGAGCCCCAAGACTCAACTAATCTCTGCTATTCTCCATCTGTGATCCTTGAAGAGTCTTTGGCCACTCAAACTTTCATCCTCACCGTCCATTAAGACAATATAGACACACGTCCTCTTCCTGGCAGATTCGTAACATCTTTAGTTGAATTGAAACTTCTTAATTTTTGCCCTGATGGTCAAAATGGGGATTTTCTATTCTTTAGCTATTTTCTTACAGCCACTTTCTATTTTGTAATGCTCAACAATCTTTTGAGGCACATCAGAATTATATTCTTTGGTTCTACTCATCGTGATGGACGATTAAGGGAATTTGGCCTTTGTGTTTCCTCATATTTAAACTCCTGTGAAACAAGTCAAAGCTCGACAATTTCATGTTCCTAGTCCTCCTGGTATGCTAAAAAAAGGTAAATATTAATGGGAATATACTTCAGATATTTTACTCGTAAAAAAATTCTAGGGGTACCAATAATTGTGGCCAACGTGTTTTGGAGAAAAACATTTATTTCATAATGTGATTTCCCCCCCACATTCAATTATTTTACTTCAATGAAAGGTTAGATTTTTGCAAATTTTTTGAATGAAAGATCAAAAGGATAAACAATGCAGATTAATTTTTTACAGGCATTTTTGATCATATTTACCAGGGGTGCCATTAATTCTGAGCACCACTGTATATGTGTGAGTGTGTGTGTGTGTGTGTGTGTGTGTGTGTGTGTGTGTGTGTGTGTGTGTGTGTGTGTGTGTGTGTGTGTGTGTGTGTGTGTGTGTGTGTGTGTGTGTGTGTGTGTGTGTGTGTGTGTGTGTGTGATTTTAGTAGACTGCAAAAAAAATGAATGACTAGCCATATGAATAATTACAAAGACTGTAATTGCAACCTTAAACTGAGGCCAGAAAAATGTATCTCATCTGCGCTCTAGCTCTGCAATCCTGTTTCATACGTACTATAGTCTAAACAAGTCTGAATAGATCAACAACGACGGATTAAAGTCCAAATGAGTGGGTGAAAAACCTTTACGTATATTCACAGAACACTTCAAAACAATTCACAGAACAGCTGCTGCGTATTACGCCAGATATTCTGCCATGACCCGTTTTTCTTTTCTCTCTCCATTTTCCACATATCTCTCTCTCTCTCTCTCTCTCTCTCTCTCTCTCTCTCTTTATCTAACGCCAGAGTGGAGTAGGAAAAGCCCAAGTAAAAATCGCTCACTAGAGACAGTATTTCAACATACATCTGAACTCAAGAGCTTGACAACGTGTAACAGGATGTTTCCAGTGATAATTTAGTGTCTAGCCAGCGTGGCCTTACAGCTCTCAACGTAGAACTAGGAAAATATGGGAGTCCAAGATTCCGACTATATTTCAGTCCAAATCTTAGTAAAAAAAAAAAGAAATCCCTAGGAGGTGGAATATTGTATTTGCAACAGGCTGAATGTGGGGAACTACCTGAGACCAATTTGGCATTCTGTGCAGATGTTCGCCGAGGTGCATTTCTTGCAGTTGTCGCTGCATTTCCGGCACATGGTGGAGTCTGCGGGAGAACAGTCACATACGGTCTCAATTCAACAATTCATCTTCAGCCAATCAGCATGTACAGTGTGTTTTCTGGAGTGAGATGGCGCGTGAATGGACTTGCCAAGGTCCAGGTAGAAGCCGTCGAGACAGGAGCTGATGCAGTTGTTGGCTCCCTCCACCAGGTACAGACCCGGGCGACAGGTGGAACACTGATCGCTGCGACTGCCGACACAAGACTCGCACAGCGGAGAGCACTTCTTACAGCGCTTCTTATCGTCCCGGAAAAACCCAGACGGACACTCGGGAACACACGTCCTGAGAGACACACAAGGCGGAGGTGGAAAGAGAAAGACAGACACAGACAGGAAGAGCCACATGAGAACAGAAAAATCAACATCTGGCAGTCATGAGGAAAGACTTTCACCAGGAAACAAAGGCAAAAGTCAGGGTCTGAGAAAGCCATCAGCTCCAGACGTGGTGTGAGCACGGCTTGTGTGACTTGGGATGCCAGAGAAAACAATATCTATAAATGTAATCAGGACACGTGCACACACGTAGATAGACGCAGCCGCACAGCTGTTGTCAGCATGTGATTTGGTGTTTTTATAGGAGTTAATTAATCTTTTGACTCAAAGTTAAATCATTTTCACTAATAAAAGGAATATTTTTCAGAAAAACAACCTTTCAGAAAACATGTTAAAAACTCCCAATTCTTTAGTTACATATGCTTCACATTGTGGTCTTATATTTCACACCAAACTTACTTCAGTTTTAAATAATAATTTTATACATATAATTTTATAATTTTAACAAGAGAAAAGGGAAAATCTAGTTCAAAACACACGTGCAAAGTTCTTAGAAATGTGCTTAATATCTGAAATGTGTATAGAAATGTGTACTCATGTCCGTTTCATACACTAGCGTTCAAAAGTTTGAGGTCGGTAAGATTCTCGTATGCTCACCAAGGCTGCATTTATTTGATGAAATATACAGCAAAAACAGTAATATTGTAAAATATTATTATAATTTCAACTGTTTTCTGTTTTAATATAGTTTAAAATGTAATTTATTCCAGAGTTTCAGCATCTATTACTCCAGTCTTCAGCATTACTTGATTCAGAAATCATTCTAATATGCTGATTTGGTGCTCAAGAAACATAATTATCAATCCTAATAACAGTTGTGCAGCTTAATATTTTTGTGGAAACTATATGAAATAAAATAAATCAGGATTCTTATATTAATAGAAATTTCAAAAGAACAGCATTTATTTGAATATATCTTCTGGAGCATTTAAAAAGTCGTAACTTTTGATCAATTTAATACACCCTTGCTGAAAAAAAGTATTAATTTCTTTATCATACTGACCCTCAACTTTTGAATAGTAGTGGTTTAAAAACAAATTATATTTTCACTCTAAATAGGTCTTAATACATCTTGATCATGTAAATAAATGTTAAGTAAATATATTACTTTTTTCAAAATAACATTTTAAATTAAAACGTTTTTTTTTTTTTTTTTTTTTTTTTTTTTTTACAAATACCATGAATTATTAATTCATAAATATAAGGTTCAACCAAAACTAATCTTTCCATGTCATAAAAAGATCACATTTGTTTGCACGTTGGTTAGACCACACGAGAAGCATTTTTATCATTTGTTTCTATATATAATGTATCCGGGGAAAAAAAACTATGGACGTCATTTCACTGACCCAAGCAACACTGTTTGTAAAAATTAGTTTAAATGACAAAAGCAAACAAACAGAAAAGCAACACACCAATCAAGTATAGTTTTTAAGGTGTAATAATGTTGTGAAAAGCAATATACCTGGTGTTGTTCTTGAACTTGAGGAAGTAGTGGAGGCAGGTGATGCACTGCTGAGGGCCTGGCCCTTCACAGCCATTGTCCCCACACTCAGGGTGGCAGGAGCCTTATGTAAGAAAACACAAACTGATGAGCTGAGCTCTGAGAACTTCCACAGATACTCAGTGATGCACAATAAAATTAGAAAAAAGCACTTACCCACATACTCCTCACTGTACTCGTCATCAGACTGTGTCTCCGCCACTGAGCGAGGCTTGTCACTGCGGAATGAGTACGGATGCACGGAGGTACCATAAAGTACCAGAGACCACTCTTTCAGCTTGCCTGGAACAAATTACAGTCCATGTGCAATGAAGTTAAGCTATCATCTATCATTAATATTATCATTAAATTAACATCTATCATCTGTGTGTGTGTGTGTGTATATATATATATATATATAGAGAGAGAGAGAGAGAGAGAGAGAGAGAGAGAGAGAGAGAGAGAGATCCCTGTGATAATATACATTCATAGCTTTTTTTTTTTTTTTAAAGAAATACTGGAGAGTTGTAAGCTATAGGCAATTTATAACAAATTTGCACTAAATCTGTTATAATAAAATGTGGCTATGGTAAGAATAACTGTAATATAACTTTCGTTAAACATTACATCTATAGGCCAATGCATTACAAACATGAATTAAAAGTAGTTGTTCACTTTAAAATGAAAATTACCATATAATTTACTCACCCTCAAGCCATACTAGGTGTATATGACATTCTTCTTTCAGACGAATACAATCGGAGTTATATTAATAAATGTCCATCGCTTTGCTTCAGAAGGCCTTTATTAACCCACCGGAGCCGTTTGGAGTTAGTTTATGATGGATGGATGCACTTTTTTGAGCTTCAATCTGTTGGTTGCAATCCACTGCCATTATCAAGCTGGGAAGAGCCAGGACATTTTTTAATATAACACCGATTGTATTTGTCTGAAAGAAGAAAGTCATATACACGTAGGATGGCTTCAGAGTGAGTAAATTATATGGTAATTTTAATTTTAAAGTGAACTAATCCTTTAACTTAATTAACTTTTATGTCTCAGTTCTCACTACTGAAATTTGCATTATATATATATATATATATATATATATATATATATATAGACTCATACATATATATACACACACTATATTGGCAAAAGTTTTGGGACGTCTGCCTTTACATGCACATGAATTTGAATGACATCCCATTCTTAATCCGTAGAGTTTAATATGAAGTTGTCCCACCCTTTGCAGCTACAACAGCTTCAACTCTACTGGAAAGGCTTTCCACAAGGTTTAGGAGTGTGTTTATGGGAATTTGACCATTCTTATAGAAGCGCATTTGTGAGGTCAGGCACTGATTTTGGACGAGAAGCCCTGCCTCACAGTCTCCGCTCTAATTCATCCCAAAGGTGTTCTATCAGGTTGAGGTCAGGACTCTGTGCAGGCCAGTCAAGTTCCTCCACACCAAACTTGCTCAGCTATATCTTTCTGGACCTTGCTTTGTGCACTGGTGCACAGTCATTTTGGAACAGGAAAATGTATTGTATGCTGAAGCGTTAAGAGTTCCTTTAACTGGAACTAAGGGGCCAAGCCCAACCCCTGAAAAACAACCCCACACCATAACCCCCCCTCCACCAAACTTTACACTTGGCACAATGCAGTCAGGCAAGTACCGTTCTCCTGGCAACCGCCAAACCCAGACTCGTCCATCAGAATGCCAGACAGAGAAGCGTGATTCGTCACTCCAGAGAACGCGTCTCCACTGCCCTAGAGTCCAGTGGTGGCGTGCTTTACACCACTGAATCCAACACTTTGCATTACACTTTGCATTGCACTTGGTGATGTAAGGCTTGAATGCAGCTGCTCGACCATGAAAACCCATTCCATGAAGCTCTCTACGCACTGGTCTTGATAATCTGAAGGCCACACGAAGTTTGGAGGTCTGTAGATATTTACTTTGCAGAAAGTAAGCAAGCATGCGCTGACCCTGCTCTGTGATTTTACGTGGCCTACCACTTCGTGGCTGAGTTGCTGTTGTTCCCAATTGCTTCCACTTTGTTATAATACCACTAACAGTTGACCATGGAATATTTAGTAGTGAGGAAATTTCACGAATGGACTTATTGCACAGGTGGCAACTTATCACGTTCCCACGCTTGAATTCACTGAGCTCCGGAGAGCGACCCATTCTTTCACAAATGTTTGTAGAACCAGTCTGCATGCCTAGGTGCTTGATTTTATACAACAACGCGGCCATGGAAGTTATTGGAACACCTGAATTCAATGATTTGGAGGGGTGTCCCAATACTTTTGGCAATATAGTGTGTGTGTATATATATATATATATATATATATATATACACACACACGCACAGTATATCATTTAGCATACGCTTTTATCCCAAAACATTTTTTTAATAAATAAATAAAATAGAATTAAATAGTAAGGTTAGTATTAATGGGTTAGTATTAATGGTTAGTCTAATGGATCAAAGGGCATCTTTAGCCGTTTCTTGAAAATAGCTAAAGACTCAGCAGCTTGGGTTGAGTTAGGCAGGTCATTCCATCAGCTTGGAACAGTCAAGGTAAAGGTCCGTGAAAGAGATTTTGTGCCTCTTTGAGATGGCACCACAAGGCGCCGTTCACTTGCAGAACGCACGCTTCTGGAGGGCACATAAGTCAACAACAATCATATATATATTAGGGCTGTCAATTTTAACGCGTTAACGCATGAGTAATTCATGATTAAAGCGTGATTAATTCAAAATCCTTAACGCGTTCAAATTATTTAAGGCAAATCAATTACTGAAACACGCGAAATTGCGCAAATAACGTAATTTATGTCACACAATTAGATTATCTTGGGAGCTGGGAGCATCAATGGCACAATCACCTGTAACCCTGGTAGGCGGAAATTTTTATTCTAACCCTTTAACCCAATTCGCTTATCTGTTTGCGATCAATCACTGCTAAACTTCCCATCGCTGTATGTCCAGATGATATGGAAACTACGTTTCTCGGCTGAATAAAGCAAAGCAGCGTCTCGCAAGTAAAGTTTTGATGGATGTGAATTATAATGAAGGTATAGATGATTGCAATGACTAGCACACGTATGTAAGCACACGCGAGTCTGTTATATTGATGTGCAAACAAACCATATGTGCGCTTTCGACACACTGATTGCATTGTATTTAAGCACCGACAATTTCAGTACAGTCACGTTGTTTTCCACATACATTCAGGATAATGTTTTTATCTGTCATGTGTAATGTTGCTGTGTTTAGTAATTCTGAATGGATCAGTGTACTGAAGGCATAAAATGCAGTCAGGTCAAGGCGGTTGGTTTAGTTGTTTTTTGGCATCTCCATGTGGTCCTGTTCAGTATCACAACTTGGCATGTCTAAAATGTAAACAAGCTCTTTACTGTTGCACTGTATACATACTGTACACTGAAAAGATTTATTTTGTAAAATTAAATTTTTTTCTCTGTGTGCTTTGGTGTGCATAACTGTATTAATTATATAGACTCCTTGTATCATTTGGCTATTAGGTGTCCTTTTGGATACTTCAAGTGTCCTTTTTTTTGAAAATACACCTACATTTACCTTGAAAAAATTTGAGGAAAATTAGGGCGGCACAATATATCGAAATTATCAAAATATCGCAATATCGCATTCGATAACTGAATGATTTTAATACTTTAAAAGTTTACGAAGTGGCGCATGTAACAATATATTGGATCCGTGCAGCCCTTAAGTGACAGCAGCCTAATAATCCTGCTTCCGTCTGTGTGCGTAATGTCAATCAAACAACAATAGACAAAGAGAAAATTGCTCACTGCTCTTGACGGAATAACTTTTGTAGCTTTAATAAGAATCAGTGTATATTTAATTCATACAGTAAAGACTAAGCAGTGTGTTTTATTTTTACATTTGATTATTCAATCTCTGCGGTTAAATAAACCTAACATTAAAATGACACTTGTAAAAAACTACTGTTCAGTTGTAGGGATGCTTTCTTACAAAAAGAATGTGAAACATTCATGTTGGTTATATAATTTTTAGTTTTTAAATATATTTAAATATAATGTACATTTATTTTACACAAAGCATTATCGTATTGCATATCGCATTATTTAACGTGTTAACGCATATTGCATTTTTCTTCAATATCATGCAACACTACGGAAACTACAGTTTTGTGAGAATCACCCTTCAATCTGATAGTTTACTTCGCTGGATATAGCGAAATGATAACAAAAAAAAAAACATGTTAAACAAGATAAATCAAGCATGTCTAATTTCACAATAAGTAAGTGATTAATCGCACAAAAAAGGTGTGATTAATCGTGATTACATTTTTTTTATCTATTGTATCCTCGCTGTGTAAGACCAAATGTTGTTTTCAAAGGTGAAAGAATGGCTCAAGTAACAGGTAGTGTGTTTTGTATCGAGAAACTACCTGGTGCCTTCTGGCTCCTGAGTTGGGAAGGAGAGTCATAGATCTCTAGTACCCAGTCTCCAGTAGCTTTCTCGCCCCAGCAGTGAGTTGTCATGAATTCCCAGTTCTTAAAGCCCTCCATTGAGTGATCAAACAGTCTGCAATAACAATAAATAGATGCTACATCACAGCACAAAATGCACTCTGCCATGACACTTTAAGCTTAACGTCGACTAGTCGCTGATCATGGCCTGATGACAAATTAATATATACTCTGAGAGCGCTTTTCAAGATATATTTGATTATACCATCTGAATGCTCAAAATTTATCAGGTAAATGCACGTATTAAACAGCTTATTGTACACGCAAGTTAATCGCCACTCTAAACTAATGTGCTGCTGCATTGTTACGCACACACATGCAGACAGTTAATTGTGATTTATCAATCAAAAAAGCTTAGAAACTGAAAATTTCTATCATGTATTTCTTAGTAACTAAAACCCACTGCTTCACTATTAGTAGAGACGCTGCCAGGAAGAATTAATTCATACGCAACCACTCTCTCTCATATAAATTCATACAAATGTAATCTTTACTTTGCTACTTTATTTGTATCTGATTTAGAACAAGCATTAATCTGAGAGAATTATAATGACCCAAAGATAAAAGAACTGATAAAAATAAGCTGTTATGTAGGAGCATATTCCATAACTGTGCACAAGGCAACCCACGTTCGAGTCGCAGCTCGAGGTTCAGGATTATATGTTTATTAATGACGTCATCAGCGACTAGTCGACTCGACTTTAATCACATAAATATCGACTTTTAAAAAATCTGAAGTCATTCAACCCCTAGTGGAAACTTGGATCACTTCCACTGAAATTCACAATGTGCAGTCATTCTTGATCAATGTACCCATGTACTCAATATTTGAACATAGTCTGTACTGTACCTGTTGGCAAGCAGCTGTGACTTTGTCCCTGATGGTGAGGTTAGGTTGATTGACAGGTCTCCTCGCCGCGGATGAGTAATTGTTATACGTACAACCACATGCTCCAGATAAATAACATGATGGTTTGCATTATCCGTGCAGCCTGTTGCCTTGTACACGGAACGAACAACATGCTCTGGACGGATGGTTCTACAAGAAGGAAATTGTTTTATTTATTTGAGCGTTTATTATTACTTGTATATAGGGTTGCAAAATTCTGGGAATTTTCAAAGATGGAAACTTTCCATGGAAATTAATGGGAATTTAAGGGAATTAACAGGAATTTATGGGAATAAACGGGAATAAAGTGGGAATTTTCAAAGTTGAGGGTTGGCTCTTCATAGGGGACTTTATAGGGGAAAGTATATTTTAATAATAATAATAATAATAATTCATTACATTTATATAGCGCTTTTCTAGGCACTCAAAGCGCTTCACATGGAAGGGGGAATCTCCTCAACCACCACCAATGTGCAGCATCCACTTGGATGATGCGACGGCAGCCAGTGCGCCAGAATGCCCACCACACACCAGCTTACTGGTGGAGAGGAGACAGAGTGATGAAGCCAATCAGTGTATATATATATATGGGGATGATTAGGAGGCCATGATGGACAGAGGCCACTGGGCAAATTTGGCCAGGATGCCGGGGTTACACCCCTACTCTTTCGAAAGACATCCTGGGATTTTTAATGACCACAGAGAGTCAGGACCTCGGTTTAACGTCTTATCCGAAGGACGGTGCTCTTTGATAGTATAGTGTCCCCGCCACTATACTGGGGCGTTAGGACCCACACAGACCACAGGGTGAGCGCCCCCTGCTGACCTCACTAACACCTCTTCCAGCAGCAACCTGGTTTTCTCAGAAGGTCTCCCATCCAGGTACTAACCAGGCTCAGCCCTGCTTAGCTTCAGTGGGCAACCAGTCTTGGGCTACAGGGTGATATGGCTGCTGTTAATTTTAGCATAATCTTGACTAAAAAAAAACAGATGCCATTCAAATACACTTTAATATCCATGCCATTCCTCAATCACATGCACATAGAACACTGCTTACTGCATGGCTATTGAGACCACACCCCCTACTGGCACTGTGCATGCCTCCATCACATGTACAGAAGCCCAAAGCACAAGACTATTGAAGGCACACATTTGAGCCTGTGGACTAAACAAAGTGAAGTAAGTTTTGATGATATTATGGGGAAATATATTTATTAAATGTTAAAATTGCAAATATCACATACAAATGTATTCATCTAGTAGCAATGCTGATAAGTTAGATGCTAAATAAGCTAGCATAACTTTATTTACTACATAAGGTAGATGCTAGCTACCTCATGTGGCTGTTTTTCTCTGCCTCCTGCAATATGTTTTCAAGATCATTCCAGTTGTTTAGCTAGCCTTACTATTTATGTATCTGTTCATGCCATTGCATTAGTATTCTTCCTAGGGTTGGGCCGATGGATGATATTATCGTCCATCGTGATGGCTGACAGACATCACGATGTTTAGCCGACATCGCGACGTCCCCCCCCCCCCCCCCATGGTTTCCATGGTGACGCATCATGCTTGGCACGTGATTCACCACAGCCAAACTTGTTCTGTTCTACTTACAAATAAATCTGTTGAATTATCTGTTGAAAACATTTTGCATGGATGTTTTCTTATGACTTCTGTTTATATTTATGCTTGGATATGATACAATGATCGATTACATTACAATGAATTCCCAGTTAGTTCCCCTAAATTCCCATTAATTCCCATTATTCCCATGGAAAGTTTATAATATGGAATATATTTCCAAAATTCCCCAGCTTAACTTCCCTTGGAAATTTACCGGAAATTTTCCGCCCCTTTGCAACCCTACTTCTATAACATTATCAATGAGGCCTAATGCCTCAAGTTAAAGAGCTGTTGAATATACCTGATTTGTTTGTCAGCATTTTCCACACAGATGTGCTGTGGGGGAACCGGTTTCCAGCGTTCTGCCTCTTTCACCATGGCCTCCGCATCCATTAGCCCAAAGCCATAAAGGTGACTGACTGTAAGAATATGTACAACTTAACTGTTCAACAAAAAAAATAACAATATGTACACAGATTTAGAGTTGTTGTGAAAACCAAAATTACCACCAATCATGATGCAGATTGCTGTTTTAAAGGGGAAAATGTATTGTTCAGCACAGTCTGGAAAACCTACAAGACTGATCATACTCAGAAGTGTCACTACCTATCTAGTAGTTAAAACAAGACAGGCCCGCTTAAAGAAATGAAAAGCCTGTTACCATTATAACCAGCTGCATTGGTTTTCCAATCAGGAGCGCTGAGATGGCCAGCACGAGACGTCTTCACTATAATGTGTTGCACATCTCGCCACGTAAGAAAAGGACTGCAACAAAGAGTCAAAAATCAGACATGATGGACAGTTACATCTACGTGATTAAAAGCATTACTAAAGAATATCTCCAAACTAGATTTTTTTAAGGTGCTTACACACTTGGTTTCATTGCTTGGTCAGAACCAGTGTTCGATTGCTCTCCCTCTCTTCCCTTCCCCCGCTTGTCTCTGTTCACATTATATTATTTGGGTCCGAGCCACGGTGCGCTTGCGTCATCAAGCTGCAGCCTTGTACCAATGTTGTAGGTAATGGCTACTTCTGTCTATCTGATGAAAAGTGAACGTTCATCAATAGCGGTTCACTTCCACTATTTAGGGTGATTGCTTTCATATCAGAAGCAAACTGTACCCAAGTTCACATGAACCATTCCCCAGAACACTTTTTTATAGCGGATTCGGGTGCGCACCTGAGTCGGAAAACAGAGTTCACGTCATCCAAAAGAACCAAACTCTGATGTCAAGCGAACCGGGGAGAATACCAAAAGTGATAGTGTGAAAACACCTTTAAATCTAAAAAGCTCAAACCATTCTATTATAATCCAAAGAATCGCACTTGCACTGGCCACAATTTTCAGCTGTAGTTTGAAAGTTCAATGGCTGGCTGTCTGGTTGAAGCCTTCCCTCCCATAATTCAACATACACAGTGAGATCAAACATCAAACCAAAGAGAGATAAATGCCATGTGTCCCTGAATATCCCCCCAAATTATTAAAACATTCTAACTCCATTGTGCTAGGAATATACAGTCACATGGCAGCCATATGTCGAGGTTTTCCTCAATTTCCTGTGTGATATTAGACACAGTTGAAACTTACGGAAACTTACGCTACACGGCATTCAGAATCACACCATTTTAAAGTGGCCAGGATGCTCCTTGCTCTTTTTTAAATTGGGGATTGATGATCTACAGAAACATACTCTATCATTGACAATACAAAGCTCTCTCACCAGTCCACCAGAACCGTTACGGAAATTAAGCAGCAAAAACTGGTGATATAGCCATGTGTCATAGTACTGACATCGCAGCCATGAACACTAACGATTAACCGTAATTAATTTGCAAAATGCCAAAACAATGAAACAACAAAGTTCAAGTTTTCATTTAGCTGAAAACTGGAAGAAAAAAATATATATAATAATAAAGTTTGAGTAAATAACTTTATAAACTGGGTAATTTAACTTTTTATTGTAATGGCTGATATGTTTACCTTTTGTGCACAGAATAGACACTTGTTGCATGTACAGTAAGTAATGTCAAAGAGTTGAAAAGTTAAAAGCCACCACAAATCTCATAATTATGAGTGGCAAACTCTGGATTTCTGAGTTTGGGGCAAATCAATCAGAAAACATGGTGGACGCAATGGATGCAGCATCTGTAGTTGACGGTAAATTTGTTGAAATGCATGAAATTATTTTATTGAACTTTACTTTAAGGTGCCCTTGTTGCAGTGTAATTATACAATTAAGTACGGAGTAATATTAATTAACATGTACTTACTTTAGGGTTAGGGTTAGGAATAGGGTTTGGTTTAAGTTTAGTTGCTTGCAATTATGTATAATTTGCTGTTATGACTGTACATGTAAAGTGTAACATACATGTATATGTAAGTATATACACTGAACAAAACTATAAACGCAACACTTTTGTTTTTGCCCCCATTTTTCATGAGCTGAACTCAAATATCTAAGACTTTTTCTATGTACACAAAATGTCTATTTCTCTCAAATATTGTTCACAAATCTGTCTAAATCTGTGTTAGTGAGCACTTCTCCTTTGCCGAGATAATCCATCCACCTCACAAGTGTGGCATATCAAGATTAGGCTGGCCACAATAAAAGGCCACTCTAAAATGTGCAGTTTTATCACACAGCACAATGCCACAGATGTCGCAAGTTTTGAGGGAGTTTTGGCATGCTGACTGCAGGAATGTCCATCAGAGCTGTTGCCCGTGATTTGAATGTTCATTTCTCTACCATAAGCCGTCTCCAAAGGTGTTTCAGAGAATTTGGCAGTACATCCAACCGGCTTCACAAATGCAGACCACGTGTAACCACACCAGCCCAGGACCTCCACATCCAGCATCTTCACCTCCGAGATCGTCTGAGACCAGCCACCCAGACAGCTGCTGCAACAATCGGTTTGCATAACCAAACCATTTCTGCACAAACTGTCAGAAACCGTCTCAGGGAAGCTCATCTGCATGCTCATCGTCCTCATCGGGGTCTCGACCTGACTGCAGTTCGTCGTCGTAACCAACTTGAGTGGGCAAATGCTCACATTCGATGGCGTCTGGCACTTTGGAGAGGTGTTCTCTTCACAGATGAATCCCGGTTTTCACTGTACAGGGCAGATGGCAGACAGTGTGTATGGCGTTGTGTGGGTGAGCGGTTTGCTGATGTCAATGCTGTGGATCGAGTGGCCCATGGTGGCGGTGGGGTTATGGTATGGGCAGACGTATGTTATGGACAATGAATACAGGGGCATTTTATTGATGGCATTTTAAATGCACAGAGATACCGTGACAAGATCCTGAGGCCCATTGTTGTGCCATTCATCCACAACCATCACCTCATGTTGCAGCATAATAATGCACGGCCTCATGTTGCAAGGATCTGTACACAATTCCTGGAAGCTGAAAACATCCTAGTTCTTGCATGGCCAGCATACTCACCGACATGGCCTTTTGTGTACATAGAAAAAGTCTTAGATATTTGAGTTCAGCTCATGAAAAATGGGGGCAAAAACATAAGTGTTGCGTTTATAATTTTGTTCAGTGTATAATTGTAAATGTATGTTTTTTTAAATTGACATCATAATTATTACAATTTCCCAACTCGTAAATATTAACTTCTCAGGACGACTTAAATGCACCAACTAACATATTCAAAACATGTCAGAAGCACTAATTAACCATCCCTGTTTCGGTCAATGATATCGGCCATCCAAAACCATTTCACCCCAAACCAAAAATGAATGTATGCTTTTCTGGCAAACTTTCTTGCCATTAACCTTATAGGTTAACTACATTTCTATGCATCAATTATTGAGCTCATATTCATACGACCACCCATGTTGATATATAAGCTATTCAACAGCTTCCTCTCATATTACATGTAAAGTGGTTGGTGATAACATAGATCATTTACATACAATTAGATACAAATGTCTGTAGATACTTAATACAGTAGCAAAAACATAAAACAGTGTTAAATTCAGAAGGTCACTGAAAGGTTGAAACTGGATAACTGGAAAAGGGTAACTGGAGTGCATAGTATGACCCCTTTGTGACTACATTTACATTTAATCATTTAGCAGACGCTTTTGTCCAAAGCGACTTACAAACGAGGAGAGCAATAGAAGCCCTTTAACCTAGTATACAGTGGTTAAGATGCTAATTCTACTGACGTGGCCTGGAGAGACTATCAGACCCTTTCAAACTAAACAGCTGTTAGAGAAATGAGAGCATACAACAGGTTTCGGTGAGGAGTTAGCGGCTTACTTTGCTTCCAGAGCAAGAGCAATGATCCCTGCTGCCATCGGAGCTGATGCTGATGTTCCAGTGTGACTGTCTGTGCAGCGCTGCCTCAGATCTGTCGTGATCTAACAGGAGAGACAAAAAACATCATAATTATTCTTGAGTATTATGTTACCATGTGTTTAAGTTGTGAATAAAAGTTAACATGTACACTTTATGACGTAAAGTAACAATACTTGACTGCTCCTGTTACAATAAGCAACACGGTAAACACTTCAAGTATGCAATAGACCGCTTTGCTGAGTTCTAGTTGTTGCATTGTTTTTTGCATTGTTATTTGGGTTTAGTTTTAGTTACCTTCAATGAGCCAGTAAATTTTTACATCACTTGCATTTCCAACAAATCCGCTCCTTCAATGACACATAATGCACTTAAACTTTGGCAGGATTTTTTTTTTAGGTTAATTTTTATTTGTTAAATGCACTTCAACATATTGCAGCACTTACTGACAATGAAATGTGCTATAAATGTGCCATTGTGCTACACTTAGCAGTAAATTACCATCACTTTGAGACATGCCTTCCTGTCTAATTGGGCAGTAACTGGGGAGTTTTTATCTATTTATTTTGTTTAAGATAGATCAAATCAGAAGACTTAAGAAGATTTACGATATGAATTAGACTAGGGTGGGTTTAAAGGGCCATCTGTGAAAATGTGAAAAGTGACCGATTACACACGAGCATATTATAGTAAATGGATGAAGTTGAGAAAACTGAGATTCTGTGAATTAAAGTGACCTGAAACCTGCACAAGACAACAAAGAGAAGTGCTAATGTCTGTAACACTGGGCCTCAGAAAGTAAACACGTATTGGGAAAGGAGTTTGAAAGTCAATGTGGAATTTCACACGTAACTCTGAGACAAGCTGAGAGACAAGGAAGAACTGTCGGTCTGTAACTCTCAGAGGAGTGTGTAAAAGTGTGTGCGGGCTGTGTAAACCACAGCAGTTAACACCAGGATTGTCTCATGACACGGTGACCAACAAAGCAGATCAAACGCATGCCCAAAGAAATACATGAAAATGCATTAGGCATGTTCTTATTAGCAAATAAGAACAAAGAAGCCAGTGAAAATAAATATGCATTGTTAATTCTTTTGATTAAGAATCCTTGAGCGGTCTCGACTAAAACGCATCATTTTGTCTTCACAACATAATTCTCCCTGGTTAGGATGCTGTTCAATTCTAGAAACATGGTGACTTTAAAGCTAATCCAGCAACAGGCCTGTTTTCTAAAAAGCAGGTCTACTCAGTGCATAAGATCTAGTTGCAGTTTTATGCATTATTTAGGGAACTTACGATTTTACGGTCGTAATTCTCTCCACTACTGTAGGTGGTGGTGAGGGTTGAGGAACACTCTTCCAGATACCAGGGCTTGCGGCCGCTCTCAGCCGTGCTGCTGATGGATATCGTGTAGATGCTGTTGGTGTAGCCATCACATGAACAGTGATCTCGACTCCGACCACCATTTCCTGATGCCCAAACAAAGATCGAGCCCCGTCCCTTCCTGCCCTGTGAGCAAAAACCATAAGTAAGGCTTTGGGGATTAAATTTCACAAAAAAAAGTATATATTCAATGTTATTATTATTTCAAATGAGCTTTTATTATTAATATTCAGCTTTCATGCTTTTATTTTAATATTACTAAGTTTTAGTAATTGTGTGATGTGCTTTTGTCATAATATTAATTAGCATGAATTTAAATTAGTTTTTTTTTTATTAAGTTTTTAATCAAATATTTATATTTATATGTTATATATATATATATTTTTTCATTTAAATTAAAACTATATTTAATACTTTTAATTTTAGTTAACAACAACAATATTGGTTATACTACTAAAAAATTAATTTGAAATGTTCATTGAATTCAGATAATGGGATCAGGACGATATAATCTTCAGGCATTAATAACCCCCAGCCCAGTCTGAGACCAGTATTATTGACACCAGTATTGTCTCGCACACCTGAAACATGCCTAAACCACTCTAAACACACCTTTGGCACAGGATACATGCCAATTACTGACTGTGACTCATGACTCGGGGAAGATAAACTAAAATCACGTCCTAAAGTTCACTGCCGTAGCAGGTGGTAGGGTGTGACAAGGAAAGAAAAACACCCTAGGTGGGCCAGACTGCTGAAGAGACGTGACTGATGACCTGAAAAGTACACTTCCTGATTTATGAACTCCACACCATATGGAAAAAGACACTTTTACTTGCAGGAAAAACACAACACACTTTTCAAATGAACTTTAAGTGAACTTTATGTATATGCCGTGATTGTTTTTACCAGTCTAATGCCGTTTTCAAAGGCCTGTCTGGCGAGGGAAGCGGGCCCATCCACGGTTTTGCCATCATCATCTGGACCCCAGCTGGCACTGTAAATATCTATGTGTTGAGGATGTAGACTCAGTGATTTGGCCTCTACCATGTCGGTCACATCTCCGTCCAACATGCGGACACCTGCAGGACAAGCCGAAAGTTAACCTTATACAAAACACTGAAGATCATTAATACTTTTTCTAAGCAATGATGCATTAAATTGCTCAGAAGTTACAGTTATTGTGAACTTTCCATTTATTAAAGAAGCATGAAAAAATGGATCATAAAATATGAATTAACACTGATAATAAGAAGATAATTGTTTTTCCTGTAGATCTGATCAAATAGTGAGCACATTGTGTATAAAATTAACTAAAACAAATCTTAAAAACCCCAAACTTTTTAACAGTAGTGAGTTTATAAAAGCTGTAATATTTTTAAATGGACATGTCTTAAATGTTAAAAGTTGTCCGATTAAATGTGCATGACCTCAGTGGCGGAGCTGTAAAATTGATTTAAAGATCCAACTTTTAAAAAATTAAAAAGGGCCAAAATTAATTTAGTTGACTTCAACAAACCAAATATTATTAATATTCTAGATTGATACTCCATTGTCATTTAATATATCAAAATGTATTGATATATAAACGTAATTTAACATACATTTATGTAATACATGTATGTTAAATATATCATTGGTCATTGTGTACGGTCAACGAACCACAAAACTCAGGGTTCGGATCAGCAAAAAAACAAATAAATATTATGGGAAACTGAGATTTAGATAATTTAAATAGCAAATCTTCCCTTTCAGGCAAAAACTTTAGAACATGTAGTTGCTTTACAGTTGCATAATCACCTTTCTGTTAGTAATCTTTTTGAGCAGTTTCAATCTGTTCTTCGAAAATATCATAGCACTGAACACCCCTGGTTAAAATGACTATTGACTTACTTTTGGCCTCTGATGCTGGATCTTATTCTTATTCTCTTTGACATTAGTGCTGCATTTGACACTGTGGATCATACTTCATCGCCTTGAAACAGTTTTTGGTAGTTTTGGCACTGTTTTAAACTGGTTTAGATCTTATTTGAACAGATGCAGACAGTTTGTTGTTTTAGTGGAATACAGGTCTGATTTTTGGACCAGTTTCTACTGGCATCCCTCAGGGCTCAATTTTAGGACCCTTCCTTTTTAGCATTTATTTATTCCCGCTTGGCCAACTTTTATGAACTCTAGGTATTAAGTATCACTTTTATGCAATGACACACAGATCTATTCATTGTAAACATGAACAACGTGAGTCTCATTGTCTCATTGTCATATTTCTGAGACAAAAATCATCGATGGCTAATAATGTTAGTGGTAAATTTAGGCTAATAAGTTTTAATAGTGATAAAAATTTGGTCATGTTTATTGGTTCTTCTCATCAGCTCCACTAGGCTGGCCAAACACCTCTTATCATTGATGGTTCTGTACTTGACTTTCAGGAAAAATCTATGAATCTAGGTGTGATCTTTGATCCTTTGTTGATATTTGACCCTCATTGCACTGGCTACCAATTGATTTTAAAGTTCTTATGCTCACACACAAAGCACTTAACAGACTGGCTACAGAGTATTTATCTCAGCTTTTAACAAACCATATATTCCTAATCAAAGTCTTCTCTCTTCTTAGCATGGTCTTTTGGTTGTCGATCAAACACAGTTATGTTCCATGGGTGACAGATCTTTTTCTATAGCTGCTCCCAGGTTGTGGAACCAACTTCCAGTTGAAAGTCGGGAAGCAAAGTCTCTTAAAGCTGCAGTCGGCAAGTCTGGGAGATTGAGTGAACTTAGGCAAAATTTTTAATGTTTACAACTCTCATGCCCCTCCCCCACTATTAACGGATACCCTCCCACCGAGTTCGTGCTCGAGTGCGTGTGCACCAGATTTTCTGTGAACGCGCCCGTCTCATCAGCATCCATCAACACCATGGAGTATTTGGAGGTATGCTGCCCTGGCTAATCTACCGATAGATTGCAATTGCTAACGTCATTTATACTCTAAATGAGCTTACTTGATTTGTTAGTGTTTTGAAAGCGAGATACATCCGCCACCACTCTTCGTTACCGCGCGAACTTCAGGCGTGTGCATGTGATTGTAACGTGCGCGAGGGGTGGCGTGTGCCCGATCTGTGATTGACAGTCAGATCTCACACCCCCCTGCGCTGATTGGACATGATGATCCGGGAGCTGTGGATTTTTGCAAAACAAATAACACGCTCCAGGTGGAGTTAGAAGCTCGGGTTTTTTCTAAAACCACTTTATTTATGCTGCTCTGTCGGATTATAGTGTCGATTTCACTGAATATGATCAAAAAAATGTTGCCGACGGCAGCTTTAAGATTTTGAAAACATATTTGAAAACATATTTTTTTAAGTTAGCTTATTGTTGATTGTGGTAACATTGTTGATTTCTTGTTGTTTTAATACACCAATATACTATTGTTGATTTTCCTTGTATATTTACCTTATAGCGCGCTTTGAGAATCTCCCTTCTATAGAAAATAAAGTTATTATTAATTACAGACAGCAGCAGGTATTTATAAGCTTCTGTCATTTTAAGACCTAATGCAAGATTCAATATAATGATACACATCTGATTTCTTACTCAATCAGTGCGTTTACATAATGGGATTTTGGCAATATTGCAATTAAACTTTACCTCGATCAAACTAATGCGATTAAGCTCCTAATCGTAGAACCATATTCACATTAAACATGTAAACACCTTAATCGCATTATTAATGACAAACACATTAACGACTGCATTTATGAGAATACTTGGGCATTTTGACCATTTTTTGTGTACGTGTCCGTTCAAGCGCCAGGAGATGTGAAAGAGGAATCAATTCTGTGTTCGCGAGCTATCTGAAACGTGCCTCTCTGTGTGTGCGGCTGTGAGTACCGAATCGAGTTCAGTTTCGCCTCTTCTTGCGCTAGAATGATAAAAATCACTTAAATGTTTAAACTGGCAAGACAAAACATGACAAACTTTCACTCTATGATAGTTAAACTTTGCAATTAATCCGCGAATCACATGCGTGCCGAACCGTGGGGCCTGGTCCGTACGGATGACAGATCAACTATGATCCGTTTAACCCCTAACTATTCACATACTGATTTTGTGTTATTTCATAGTTTTGGTGACGTTTTTGTGCGAGAACGAAAAAAGGCAAAATTCCCAGATAAAGTAGTGGGTCTACATCAGACATCAGCTACACTCACCCCCAATCTTGGCGTTGTAAGCAATGCCCACCGTGCAGTGGGAGTTGTTGGCGGACGCGGCTACTTCACCAGCGCACCTCGTGCCATGCCTGAACAGAACACATAAGATGTTAGTGTTAGTATCACACTCATACACACATTCACTAACTGCAAAATAACTAAAACTGGAGACCCTTACGCAAGCACAGGCACTGTTGCTGACCTATTACACACACTCGCTACAGAAGGAACGCAAAAGTGGACAGGAAAACGAAGAGAGAGACTGAAACAGCTGGGCTGAAACTAAACATGTGTTTCCACAGCCAGCAAAGCTAAAACACAGTGGCTAAATATTTGAGATATTGAAGGAAAACATTTGAGCGGTTCCTCTGCTTCAGACGCAACGTGGATACATTCCTGACCCAAACTAAACCCACATAAATCTAACACAAATCATCAGCAAAAAAATGCACTAAAACGTCCACTAAAGACAAAGACAGACAGATGGAGAGAGAGAGCGAGAGAGACAGAGAGAGATTCGGCTATGGAACCTCCAGCAGTGAACAGCTGCATAGAAAAACTCACGCTACCATGGTAACCACAGTCTCCAATCTAAGCAATTTTAAAAAAGAAAAGAAAAAGAAACAAAGATTGTAAAGATCCACAGCAGCACCAGATTCTGGGATGAGACCAGGGATAAACCATCCTCGCAACCATAAACATTTACAAGGTCAATAGGTCAAAAGGCCAGAGGAACTCCCAGGTGGTCTGAGTGCTTGATCCCAATGCCAATCCAATGACTCCCGACTAAAACTATTCCAATGATTATCTAATTCTGATGTAGGTCATATGTGACATTTAATAGGAAATAATCTGTAATAAAATCCCCAAAGAATGACCACTTCTCTTCAAGTCTACACTATTGTTTAAAGTGTGGGGGTCGGTAAGATTTCTAATGTTTTTGAAAAGTCGTCTCTTATGCTCATTAAGGCTGCAAAAATGGTATCAAAAATACAATACAACAGTAATTTTGTGAAATATTTTTACAATTTAAAGTAATCGTTTTCTATTTTAAAATATTTGAAAATGTAAATTTACTCATGTGATGGGTTTTCAGCTGAATTTTCAGCATTGCTCCAGTCTTCAGTCACATGATCCTTCAGAAATCATTCTGATATGCTGATTTGCTGCTCAAGAAACATTTCTGATCATCATCAATATTGAGAACAGTTCATATTTTTTTGTGGGATTCTTTTATGACTAGAAAGATCAAAAGAACAGCATTTATTTGAAACAAAAATCTTTTGTAACATTATAAATGTCTCTGTCACTTTTGATCAATTTAATGCTTCCTTGCTGAATAAAATAAATAATTTCTATATTTATAAAGAAAAACATATCCCTAACTTTTGAATGGTAGTGTATAAAGACATCAAAAAACACAATGACGTCAAAATTGGAGTTTTATGGATTTTAGACCATCTATACACTAGCATACTACTGGACACTTACAAAATCAGCATACAGTATAACATACAAAACAAAAATGTAATTCGCAGGGATGAGCAATGTATGTTGAATAAAATGTTCTCTAGAATGAAACTTCCTCTCCCTCTAAATTATAAATACCAACTGCCTGCGACTTGCAATAGGAAGTAGCAAATCATGGTTTATGACTGTAATGTAAACTAAAGGCTATTGGCAAAAAAAAAAAACTTCAATACATTCCGTCCCAACTTTATGTTTCCATCCATAGAGTCAACAATACATAATGTGTATCCTTGCATTACTTTAAAAGCCTCAATACTCAGGGGAGCCAGGTATCCAGCTATAAATGTCAACAGTTTAACTAACTTTAACTACCTTGCTTAACAAGATTATTTAAACTAGCTATGTTTCAGAGAATTTCACTTACAGAAAAAATAAATCTCTCTCAAACAGTTTTGAACAAGCAGCGTTTTAGCCACTACTAAAGCTGTGACTCTTTTATTATTATTTGTAATTAAACGTTTGAAATTTAGAGGGATTTATTAGAGCGCGCAGACAAAGCACCTTTTTATGTTTGCTAGAGATTATTAGTAAATCATCGGAGCGAATTATTCATTCATATGACTTTTTTTTACGCACAAAGAATTTATTCTATAAATGTTTCTATAGTATCACTACATCCTTATCTTCTTATTAAAAACTGCATCCACCTCGATCAAACAAATTATTTTAATGCACATTATTCAATATCCCAAAATTCACAGGAAAATACGTAGATTATTTGTTTGTTTGTTTGTTTGTTTTTTTGTTTAATGCCATGCCAGCATCTTTAGCTGTTTTCATGCTGAAAATCAAAGTTGTTCCTTAAAAATACATTTAAATTTAAATATTACAATCCAATCAAATATGTATATGGGAGAGTTTTTTCCTGATAGTAATTATGCAATATGTCGATGGAACAAGGCCATTGTTTTGCCAAGACAATAGTTGACCTGAAAAATAAAGCTGCCAAAAAGAGACACCATTTATGCCAACTACAGCAGGCCATATCTGTGGCAATGCGTGTTGCAGTAGCACTGTCATATCTGGCTATATTTTAACATGTTAAACAGCCTATAAAACGGTCACGCATTTATTTATTTTTACCATTTTGGGAGGCTAAAAGTTACATATATGTGGAATGCGTCTCAAACAACCTCCAAAAGCATTTCGGAGCGTATTTAGACCTGGTCTTTTCACAATAAGTGAGCCATCGATCAGAGTAAAAGCATAAAGTGACAAGGTGTAAACAGGCCCTTTATTAGATTAGAGAACACGGTCTTAAAGTAACAGCAGCCTCAAATACCTGCTGCCGCTTGTGCCATTAATGTTAGCCAAACAACAAAAGACCAGGAGAAAATCACTCACTGCTCTTGACAGAATAACTTGAGTAGCTTTAATAAGAATCAAAATATATTTAATTCATGCAGTGAGTGTCTATTTATTGTTTGATTACATTTGTTTATTCAATTTATTACTTGAATGCTATTATATCAACTCTATCTGGAAATAAAGTTTCTTATCTCTAATACGTTCTTATCTTTAATATTAAAGATAAAATAATTAATAAAAAGAGTGAAACGCCAAATTGTCAAAACCCTGCTACGTGACACTAAGTCTGCTAGCAGAATTCATGTCAATGAGAAAACCAGAAACACACACACACCACACCTGAACAGAACATTCCAGCATTTACAGAACCGCACAAGACACTGAAACGTTTCCTACAAAACCAAAAATGAACAAAAAACTGCTAACCGCATTATATATAATACATAAACCCATAAAGCATATAGAAAATACACTGTCACACACACGGGAAACTCCACTAGTGCTGCACATTTGACATACAGCTTAAATGTCAGACTGGGTCAATAAACTGCAGTTCCACTGAAAGTCTAGTGCAAAGCCCACGTTCATCTGTGAGATATATAAACTTGTCTTGCACTATTTACAATGCAGCCGCTCAGTTTGGAGCTCAAAAGTCCAGCGTCAGTCAGAACGACCTCCAGCGGTGAAGCTCACGGTCAAAACCCACCGCAGGGAAATAAAGACTCACATTACACAAACTATCAGCGGAGGAACCAACACAAAACATTCCAGCGCATAAAAGATCAACAGCTTGTGTAGTATTGACGCCAAACAACAGGGGAACTGAATAAACCAAAAATTAAATATGAGCAGTATATATATTTGTTTTGTATGAAGGGAGAGGGGGGCATAAAGGAAAAATATTGTTTCTACGCTCTTTTGAAAATGGTCACAACCATTATTCAGCAACAAAAACGAGACCCTCATTTTATTTCTTCTTTGAGCAAGGAAGCTCTCAAAGGCTCTAGCTTAATGAATAATAATATTTATTATAATTATTGTTGTTGTTTATATTATTATTACCTTATTTATTAAATCATTAATAATCAATTTGTTAATTGATTATTCAATAAGAAATTAGAAATTGTATTAAAAATATATATTTTTAATGATCTTATATTAAATTATTATTATTCAATAAGCCATTTTTTATTAATTAAAATATATATTTTTAAAGCTTTTATTAGATACAAACCCTATTACCTCTTATTATTATTATTGTTAATTACTACTACTACCACTAATATTATTGTTATTTATTATTCCATTGTTTATTCAATAAATAAGGGGGAAATATTATAAAAACTTTTTTTGAATGATCTGGGCAGTGTAAATGTGCAGTACACAGACGTTAACCAATCATAAAGAGTTCAGTTGCATATGTAACTCTTTAAAGCTACAGTAGCAAAAACAGCATGTTTAATTCATGCCAAGAGGTTACATAAAACTACATTTTGTTTATTAACTATGAACAGACTTTAAGGGAAAAATTTTGTGCTATGAAAGTAGAATATGCCTCATTCAAAGGAGTGAACTGCCAAATAGTTATGTTGTCTATACTTCCTGTCTGGGTGAGAACTTTTGAACTTTCTGCGCTGGAATCCTCACGGAGACAGAAGAAGCTGCTACAGGAGGTGGATGGTATTCTATACAGCGTGTCTATACATGCAGACCTAAACCTCTCCAACACACACTTCCTCCTGACAGCAGTGACGGCTTCAAACACTCCTCTCCTCCTCGGGCCACGGAAATACTTCTAATGGGGCTTCTAAAAGTGTAAATTAAGAAGAGGAATAGTTGTGCTAAACGCTCATGCATACGTGCACTCACATGCAGAGACCTCCAGATGGGGGATTGAGGAGCATTTCTGTAATACAGCATTCAGTGGTGTCTGATATAGTCAAGAGTCACTCTATTGCACATACTTAGGAATAAGTTTTACATTTCAGCACATAACTCGTCCCACACTACACACTATTTGAGTTACGGACATGAATCCTACCTCAGGTGTGATATCGCTTTCTTAAGACTATAATAAAGGGGGGGCTTGATCCTATAGACTTAGGGACATAGAGACTTGAGGGTGGACTTGGGGATAAATATTTTACCATTTACATAAAAACCTGTTTTTGTATTACAGAAATAACAATGTGATTTTTGCATTACTGTAACGTGAATTGGTGGGTGGGATATGTGCCGTTTGTTAATGAAAATGGTCCAAAAAAATGGTCCTTTATTCACATAAAATTATTATTATGGTTAGCTAAAAAAATTTAAAAAACTGAACTCAAAAGCTGAAATGTTAGATGAAAAACTAATATTGACAAATAGCTGAAATAATTTTAAGTTGAAGCACTAAAATTATTAATTGGAATAAAAAAACGAAACTAAAATTGAACAAACTAAAAGTGGAAAAAGAAAATTGTATATTAAAAATATATTAATATTAAAAACAAACGAATTAAAATGACAAAAGCACAAAACTAAATGAATCTAACCTTAAAATGAAAAAAAAAAAAAATGAAAAAGTCAAGGACTTTTCCAGGTCCAATACCCTCACATTCAAGGACTTAATGTGGGGACAAGTGAGAGCAAGGTTACATCATGTTATCTTGTAAGATACATTGTTTTCATGTGTCAAACAACTACGCAAAAAAGCTTTTATTTTTGCATTTATATTTGGCCATATGACAGTGATCTGATATTCTATTTGTCGTATTTCTGTTTTGCATAAAACTGAAGAATATTCGGTACATCCTATAACCGCACGTGAATGTTATGGCAACGTACAACACAAAGTACCTCACGCGGGAAACGCTTAACATAACGTGTAAATGCGCGTAACTAACGTAAATCAAGCAAGCTAGTATGCATAGGTCACGAAGTGTTGGCGAAATAACACATTAGCGGACCGAAGGGAATAATATGGAATTTTTTTCAGAAAACATCTTGCACAAAATAATTTCAAGCACTTTCAAGGACCTCTATCTATGTGTTTATTTTCAAAAACTTTCCAGGGCCTTGAATTTTTTAACTTTTTTTCCAGATTCACAAACTTTCAAGGATTTCAAGGACCCATTGGGAACCCTGTATAATATAGCTATAAATAAATAATACTTAAATAACACTGCACAAAACATAATTTTTCTTTTGAATTAACAGTGAAATATGACCCAGGCATGTTCTTAGAAATACACTTTGAAATATAGTGCAGGCGTCATAAACATTAATTATAGAAATTATTATGATGCTTTTTTGTCTTTTTACACAAAAAAGGCAGGCAGCTTATTCTACGGAAAAGAGCTTTGTGAACATTCTTCAAATGTTCTTCTTTGTGTTCCCAGAAAGAAGGAACAGCATAAAATTAGGAATGAGTGAGTAAATGATTGTCATTTGTGGTTGAACTACCTAGGGGTACGTTTCCAAAAAGCATCGTTAGCCTACTTATGGTCGCAAGTTCCGTCATTATCAACATGGTTCAAAGAGTTGGTGTTTCCCGAAACTATAGTTCCAATGAATATTCGCAAAGAGCATCGCAATGTTGTGTGGTTGGAACGACAGCTTTTGACCTGTGGTTAGGAGCATAGTTTCTTGTTTTTATGACATGTGATCCTTATCTGGAGCGAAATAAGCAAGCTGACATTTAGTACAATTTATATCTTCCATTTCTAATAAACATTTCATTTGCATCTTATTGGCCTGGTTCCACAGATAGGGCTTAGATTAAGCCAGGACTAGGCCTTAATTCAATTAGCACATTTAAGTAGCTTTTATAAACTCAAACAGATCAACAAAGAAGTATAAGTTATAAAAGAAGTTATTACTCCAGTAATTTGCGACAGTATGGTTATGGGAAACAGTCATGACTAGCAAGTTGAGTTCTTTAATAATGCATCGTACTATGGTATAAGGAGCGAGTTTCGTCGTTGTTCAGTGCTCTGGAGCTCCAAGCAGAAACAGCAACACCACAGAGGACTAGAGCCCAGGCCAAGCTTTCTGTCTGTACGGTCCAAAAAAGCTATAGAGCCATCTGGCACAGGCTCACACACACTGGTAGAGTGAGTGGCAGCCACAAAAACACATGGGGGTCTCCACCCACTCACCAAACACACCCATATATACATGCAAGAAACCAAATATCAACATTCACCAAACACCTCAAGATACACACTGATCTTGAGCCAACATTTCCACTCACGCACATAATCTCTCAAAGAAGGCTAATTACAAAAATCACTTTTCACCAAACAAACATGCCAAATACACTTACTTGCACACACAAGCCAAGCGCCATATTTACTCATACACCTATGAAACCCTTAGACACACAAAAAGCAAACTCCAAAAACCCACATTCACCAAACAAACTTGCCAAACACTCTTACTAGCGCACAGATCAAAAGCCAAATACCCACATTCGCACACACCACAGAGAGGACTGTACAAACAAAGCCTTTCCAGGGATTTAATGACCTGAAATGCTCAAAGTATTGAGCGTGTGCATGTGTAATGAACTTCACTCTTACTTGTTCTCATTACTGGCATCATATCGGGGCATGGGATCCATGTCATTACCGTTCACGTCATAACTGGCCTCATTATCCTACAAACAGATCAAAAGCAAATAAAAGACACATGAGAACATATCCAAATGTGGATTTGTCCATCCATTATGTTCATGCACCAGTTAGGACACACAAAACATGCTAAAACTGAACAACAAAATACATCATTTTTGGACTTTTACATGTGAATGACCTTTATAGAAACAGACTCAGCTTGTGTGCTTTTGTTTTCCTCAATGGGAAAAAATCCAAGAGTTCAGATGAGCCGAGAGAAACATTAAGTAAAATAAAAATAAAATAAAAAAGTACTTTTTTTTTAATATGGAGAAGTATCAATAAAAATCTCTCTATGGAATTAAAATGGATTGTTTACGTCAAAACCGTAACCGAGGCGTTCACGCAGAACATATTTTCAAAATTGACTTAAAAATGCTATTCACAATCCCTACAAGCAAAACTATTTTAATTTCCAAGATTATATTCTAACTGGCTGAATTAAATGAGGTCATGTGACAACAATTTAGAATGTTTTAATATGCTCTATTTCCACTTCCAACTGTTACTATTAGGAAAAAATAGCAACCACAATCCAGTATGCAGAGTATGCAATATGCAAGAATTCCATTCAGAACAGCCGAACATACACAGAGATACACTTACATAGTTCTGTATGAGATCTGGGTGGTTCCTCTCGATGCCATCATCCAGAATGGTAACCACCACATCCTTGCCCGTGTAGCCTCTCTTCCATGCGCCCACGATATTCATGTCAGACTGACAGTTATGGATGTTATCATTGCAGTGCTGCATAGACACAGATAAATGAGGACGTGAAACTTTTAATTAGGTGAGGAGTTACATAGTGTATGCTTACACTAATGTTTGGGGTCAGTAAGATTTTTTTTAAAGAAATTAATACTTTTATTCAGCAAGGATGCATCAAAGGTAACAGTAAAGACATTTATAATGTTACAAAAGATTTCTATTTGAAATAAATGCTGTTCTTTTGAAAGCATCCTGACAAAAAATGCATTACGGTCGGTTTCCACACAAAAAAAAAAGCAGCACAACGGTTTACGATATTGATAATAATAAGAAAATGTTTGTTGAGCACCAAATCAGCATATTAGAATGATTTCTGAAGGATCATCTGACACTGAAAACTGGAGTAATGATGCTGAAAATTCAGCTTTGCCATCACAGGAATAAATTACATTTTAAAATAGTCATTCTATTCTAATAGTCACATATTTTATTCATACTCAAATAGATAAGTATTTTTGATCAAATAAATGCAGCCTTGGTAAGCATAAGATCATTTATTATAAAGATAAAAAACCTCAAACTTTTTGAACTAGAGTATGGAAAGTGTTTTTGGAGGATTGCCTTCATTTAGTGCTTGCGTTTGCAAATGTAAATTAAGTATGAGGCTATTCAATATTATTATAGATTTTTTTTAAAGCACAGGGTGGATTCAAACCCACGTCTCCCACGATTTCTACAGCTCAATGTGTCTGAAGCATGCATGCATGCTAAATACAATGTCACAGCCGGAATAAAATCCTGGCTATTTTTGGAAAAGATCCCAAGCATGTGGTAAAAAGCAAACATTATTTTTAAAACATATCTTTGTAAATTACTGCATCTTTTCCTTGCGTATCTCAGACACTGTAATTACATGTGTCACATGGAACCAAATGTACACTTTCATTGTGCCTAGAGTTGGAATTAGACCCCATCCTGGAAAGTCAAGTTTATTTGCTCCCAAAGTACAACTTGCGGGTCAACAAGAGAAACCCGAGCCAAATGGATGCATTCAGGTCAAAGTATTAATGTTATCTGAGCCATATTAACCATTGACAGAGCTGTATAAAAACCCATTAGTGAACAAACGCTTAGTTCACTCTCGCCGTTTCGGTCTAAGCTATAAATACGATCGTAGACAGAAAGTGATGACAACAGATGCAATGTGTGCTACGCATCAAGGTTTCAGTAGCAGCCAAAGTGCAACCTTTTGTACATTCTGGTAAATCTGAATGGCTGTTTATCATGCAAAAAGCAAGGATTTCTTCACATTCTTTATGTGCAAACCATTGACTCTCATGAGGTGAGGAACATGACAGCTATTAAAGGGTTAGTTCACCCAAAAATTCTGTCATTAATTACTCACACCCTCATGTGAATGAAACTCATTGATTCTTGCGGAAGCTCAAACGTGCTGTGTAACACGAGAATGAACCTCATTGGTTCTTGCATAAACTCAAACGTGCTGTGTAACACGAGAATGAACCTCATTGGTTCTTGCATAAACTCAAACGTGCTGTGTAACACGAGAATGAACCTCATTGGTTCTTGCGGAAGCTCAAACGTGCTGCGTAACACGAGAATGAACCTCATTGGTTCTTGCATAAACTCAAACGTGCTGCGTAACACGAGAATGAACCTCATTGGTTCTTGCTGAAGCTCAAACATGCTGCATAAGACTCGAGAATGAACCTCATTGGTTCTTGCGGAAGCTCAAACGTGCTGCATAACACGAGAATTAACCTCATTGGTTCTTGAGGAAGCTCAAACGGGCTGCGTAACACGAGAATGAACCTCATTGGTTCTTGGGGAGGCTCAAACCTGCTGCATAACACGAGAATGAACCTCATTGGTTCTTGCTAAAGCTCAAACGTGCTGCGTAACACGAGAATGAACCTCATTGGTTCTTGCTGAAGCTCAAACGTGCTGCATAACACGAGAATGAACCTCATTGGTTCTTGCTGAAGCTCAAACATGCTGCATAAGACTCGAGAATGAACCTCATTGGTTCTTGCTGAAGCTCAAACGTGCTGCGTAACACGAGAATGAACCTCATTGGTTCTTGAGGAAGCTTAAAAACGTGATGTGTAACACGAGAATGAACCTCATTGGTTCTTGCTGAAGCTCAAACCTGCTGCATAACACGAGAATGAACCTCATTGGTTCTTGCTAAAGCTCAAACGTGCTGCGTAACACGAGAATGAACCTCATTGGTTCTTGAGGAAGCTCAAACGTGATGTGTAACACGAGAATGAACCTCATTGGTTCTTGAGGAAGCTCAAACGTGCTGCGTAACACGAGAATGAACCTCATTGGTTCTTGCTGAAGCTCAAACCTGCTGCATAACACGAGAATGAACCTCATTGGTTCTTGAGTAAGCTCAAACGTGCTGCGTAACACGAGAATGAACCTCATTGGTTCTTGAGGAAGCTCAAACGTGCTGTGTAACACGAGAATGAACCTCATTGGTTCTTGCATAAACTCAAACGTGCTGCGTAACACGAGAATGAACCTCATTGGTTCTTGAGGAAGCTCAAACGTGATGTGTAACACGAGAATGAACCTCATTGGTTCTTGAGGAAGCTCAAACCTGCTGTATAACACGAGAATGAACCTCATTGGTTCTTGCTAAAGCTCAAACGTGCTGCGTAACACGAGAATGAACCTCATTGGTTCTTGAGGAAGCTCAAACGTGATGTGTAACACGAGAATGAACCTCATTGGTTCTTGAGGAAGCTCAAACGTGCTGCGTAACACGAGAATGAACCTCATTGGTTCTTGCTGAAGCTCAAACCTGCTGCATAACACGAGAATGAACCTCATTGGTTCTTGAGGAAGCTCAAACGTGCTGCGTAACACGAGAATGAACCTCATTGGTTCTTGAGGAAGCTCAAACGTGCTGTGTAACACGAGAATGAACCTCATTGGTTCTTGCATAAACTCAAACGTGCTGCGTAACACGAGAATGAACCTCATTGGTTCTTGAGGAAGCTCAAACGTGATGTGTAACACGAGAATGAACCTCATTGGTTCTTGAGGAAGCTCAAACCTGCTGTATAACACGAGAATGAACCTCATTGGTTCTTGCTAAAGCTCAAACGTGCTGCGTAACACGAGAATGAACCTCATTGGTTCTTGAGGAAGCTCAAACGTGATGTGTAACACGAGAATGAACCTCTTTGGTTCTTGCATAAACTCAAACGTGCTGCGTAACACGAGAATGAACCTCATTGGTTCTTGCTAAAGCTCAAACGTGCTGCGTAACACGAGAATGAACCTCATTGGTTCTTGAGGAAGCTCAAACGTGATGTGTAACACGAGAATGAACCTCATTGGTTCTTGAGGAAGCTCAAACGTGCTGCGTAACACGAGAATGAACCTCATTGGTTCTTGCTGAAGCTCAAACCTGCTGCATAACACGAGAATGAACCTCATTGGTTCTTGCTAAAGCTCAAACGTGCTGCGTAACACGAGAATGAACCTCATTGGTTCTTGAGGAAGCTCAAACGTGCTGTGTAACACGAGAATGAACCTCATTGGTTCTTGCATAAACTCAAACGTGCTGCGTAACACGAGAATGAACCTCATTGGTTCTTGCTGAAGCTCAAACCTGCTGCATAACACGAGAATGAACCTCATTGGTTCTTGCTAAAGCTCAAACGTGCTGCGTAACACGAGAATGAACCTCATTGGTTCTTGAGGAAGCTCAAACGTGATGTGTAACACGAGAATGAACCTCATTGGTTCTTGAGGAAGCTCAAACGTGCTGCGTAACACGAGAATGAACCTCATTGGTTCTTGCTGAAGCTCAAACCTGCTGTATAACACGAGAATGAACCTCATTGGTTCTTGCTAAAGCTCAAACGTGCTGCGTAACACGAGAATGAACCTCATTGGTTCTTGAGGAAGCTCAAACGTGCTGTGTAACACGAGAATGAACCTCATTGGTTCTTGCATAAACTCAAACGTGCTGCGTAACACGAGAATGAACCTCATTGGTTCTTGAGGAAGCTCAAACGTGATGTGTAACACGAGAATGAACCTCATTGGTTCTTGAGGAAGCTCAAACGTGCTGCGTAACACGAGAATGAACCTCATTGGTTCTTGCTGAAGCTCAAACCTGCTGCATAACACGAGAATGAACCTCATTGGTTCTTGCTAAAGCTCAAACGTGCTGCGTAACACGAGAATGAACCTCATTGGTTCTTGAGGAAGCTCAAACGTGCTGTGTAACACGAGAATGAACCTCATTGGTTCTTGCATAAACTCAAACGTGCTGCGTAACACGAGAATGAACCTCTTTGGTTCTTGCATAAACTCAAACGTGCTGCGTAACACGAGAATGAACCTCATTGGTTCTTGCTGAAGCTCAAACCTGCTGCATAACACGAGAATGAACCTCATTGGTTCTTGCTAAAGCTCAAACGTGCTGCGTAACACGAGAATGAACCTCATTGGTTCTTGAGGAAGCTCAAACGTGCTGTGTAACACGAGAATGAACCTCATTGGTTCTTGCATAAACTCAAACGTGCTGCGTAACACGAGAATGAACCTCTTTGGTTCTTGCATAAACTCAAACGTGCTGCGTAACACGAGAATGAACCTCTTTGGTTCTTGCATAAACTCAAACGTGCTGTGTAACACGAGAATGAACCTCTTTGGTTCTTGCATAAACTCAAACGTGCTGCGTAACACGAGAATGAACCTCATTGGTTCTTGCTAAAGCTCAAACGTGCTGCGTAACACGAGAATGAACCTCATTGGTTCTTGAGGAAGCTCAAACGTGCTGTGTAACACGAGAATGAACCTCATTGGTTCTTGCATAAACTCAAACGTGCTGCGTAACACGAGAATGAACCTCATTGGTTCTTGCTGAAGCTCAAACCTGCTGCATAACACGAGAATGAACCTCATTGGTTCTTGCTAAAGCTCAAACGTGCTGCGTAACACGAGAATGAACCTCATTGGTTCTTGAGGAAGCTCAAACGTGATGTGTAACACGAGAATGAACCTCATTGGTTCTTGAGGAAGCTCAAACGTGCTGCGTAACACGAGAATGAACCTCATTGGTTCTTGCTGAAGCTCAAACCTGCTGTATAACACGAGAATGAACCTCATTGGTTCTTGCTAAAGCTCAAACGTGCTGCGTAACACGAGAATGAACCTCATTGGTTCTTGAGGAAGCTCAAACGTGCTGTGTAACACGAGAATGAACCTCATTGGTTCTTGCATAAACTCAAACGTGCTGCGTAACACGAGAATGAACCTCATTGGTTCTTGAGGAAGCTCAAACGTGATGTGTAACACGAGAATGAACCTCATTGGTTCTTGAGGAAGCTCAAACGTGCTGCGTAACACGAGAATGAACCTCATTGGTTCTTGCTGAAGCTCAAACCTGCTGCATAACACGAGAATGAACCTCATTGGTTCTTGAGGAAGCTCAAACGTGCTGTGTAACACGAGAATGAACCTCATTGGTTCTTGCATAAACTCAAACGTGCTGCGTAACACGAGAATGAACCTCTTTGGTTCTTGCATAAACTCAAACGTGCTGCGTAACACGAGAATGAACCTCATTGGTTCTTGCTGAAGCTCAAACCTGCTGCATAACACGAGAATGAACCTCATTGGTTCTTGCTAAAGCTCAAACGTGCTGCGTAACACGAGAATGAACCTCATTGGTTCTTGAGGAAGCTCAAACGTGCTGTGTAACACGAGAATGAACCTCATTGGTTCTTGCATAAACTCAAACGTGCTGCGTAACACGAGAATGAACCTCTTTGGTTCTTGCATAAACTCAAACGTGCTGCGTAACACGAGAATGAACCTCTTTGGTTCTTGCATAAACTCAAACGTGCTGTGTAACACGAGAATGAACCTCTTTGGTTCTTGCATAAACTCAAACGTGCTGCGTAACACGAGAATGAACCTCATTGGTTCTTGCTAAAGCTCAAACGTGCTGCGTAACACGAGAATGAACCTCATTGGTTCTTGAGGAAGCTCAAACGTGCTGTGTAACACGAGAATGAACCTCATTGGTTCTTGCATAAACTCAAACGTGCTGCGTAACACGAGAATGAACCTCTTTGGTTCTTGCATAAACTCAAACGTGCTGCGTAACACGAGAATGAACCTCATTGGTTCTTGCTAAAGCTCAAACGTGCTGCGTAACACGAGAATGAACCTCATTGGTTCTTGAGGAAGCTCAAACGTGATGTGTAACACGAGAATGAACCTCATTGGTTCTTGAGGAAGCTCAAACGTGCTGCGTAACACGAGAATGAACCTCATTGGTTCTTGCTGAAACTCAAACCTGCTGCATAACACGAGAATGAACCTCATTGGTTCTTGCTAAAGCTCAAACGTGCTGCGTAACACGAGAATGAACCTCATTGGTTCTTGAGGAAGCTCAAACGTGCTGTGTAACACGAGAATGAACCTCATTGGTTCTTGCATAAACTCAAACGTGCTGCGTAACACGAGAATGAACCTCATTGGTTCTTGCTGAAGCTCAAACGTGCTGCGTAACACGAGAATGAACCTCATTGGTTCTTGCTGAAGCTCAAACGTGCTGCGTAACACGAGAATGAACCTCATTGGTTCTTGAGGAAGCTCAAACATGCTGCGTAACACGAGAATGAACCTTTTTGGTTCTCGCACGATAAGCAAACATGCTTAAGCTTCCATTTACCACAACTGATGTGTGAGTTGATGAATGTTTATATGTGAATACAAGCCTAAATTCAATCTGTTCATCATATAAAGCGATCGATTGAAAAATGTTGGACTAAACCACTCAATTAATTTGGACTAGTTTTACAATCTCTTTATGAACTTTTTTGAAGCCAAAATGATAGTTGCGTAGCTGTCAACAGAGGGACAGAAAGCTCTCAGATTTCATCAAAAAGATCTTCATTTGTGTTCCAAAAAAGAACGAAAGTCTTTTTTGGGTGAACTATCCCTTTAAAACAAGAGCCTGTTTATACAATTACCTCACAGAAATTGTCTCAGCTAGAAGTTATGTCAGAGCTTACACTGAAAAGTTCAATGTATCTCTCTGGGTGGTTTTCACATGTAGAAACTCGGCTAATCTGGTGTGACAGGCATCGTATCCTTTGAACGTTCAAACTGACAAATTAGTTTTAGTTAAAAACACCAAAGGTTTAATACCTGCCATTACGATTTAGCTAAAAGACGTCTTCAGCAACCGAAGATTGGCTTGGTTTGGCACTTACCTAAACACAACATTGTCTTTAATGAAAGCATTCGCAACACATTTGAATTCTGTAATGGGCAGTATTGCGGACTTCAACAGAATATTCAGCAGCAAATAACATAGGACGTGACTTGAATTTAGCCCGTCAGGATTTTAAGTTAGTCTATGCTTTGACTGGACAATAATATCATAATATAATAGTCTTCATCCCAAAGTTTCGTACTCAAAGAGTTTTACCTTGCTGCTATTAGAAGGAATCGTATTGTGAAATAAACTTCACAAATAAATTGCACAGAATAAAATCCCCTGTCCCTGTGCCTTTTCTTACATCAGCAGAAAAGAAAAGTTGTTTCTAAGGCAAAAAAAAAAAAGTACATACATTTTAATGAATAACAACATTTTTCCTTTTAGAATGAGATATGCTTGATGAATCATTCACTGTAAGACCTTGGTTAAGCACTTGACTTGAACAGCTCTATAGTGCCACAATTTTTTGCAGTAGACTGGGAAATGATACAAACCATGACAATGATCAAGATCTCGCCAGTCTTTTTCAACCTTACCAATTCACAAGAACTATTTACAACATGTTGAGAATACTCACTATGTACCACATACTGCTCCATTTAGCATCATTGAAGTAAATCGAGTTGGACTGGACCATACTGGATTGTACAGGACCAGGATATGAGGGTTTATAATCTCGCTTTATTCTCCTCTTCACGACCTGCTGTTGCACCCATTCCACCTGAGAAAGAATGGGAAGAAATCCTTTAGGAACTGACAAACACCAACTTCTTTTCACAACATCCCCTCTCTGTAACAGTCTTCTGATTCAATGAAAGACACTGGAATACAATAATGAGAAACATCCTATATAGTAACAGTGTTGTTGATTTTTTGCCATTAAAGTAATGAGAATTTTTTAGGCAAATAGGCTTACTTATGAAGAAAATGTCACAAAGCAAAAATTCTTAATAATGTAAAGTACCAACATTCTTCAAGCATTAAAAGCATATCTTAATTGTTCCTTTCGATATCGAGGTGAAATTTGACCTTCTTTTGAAATATGACCATTTTTTGTTTTTCAAAAACGAATATTTTCTCAACTTTTATATCTTTTCAAACCTTGTACGATTTTTCTCACCTCTGCTGAATAAAAAAAATAAACTTATTGCAAACAGGTATGAGACAAAAATGTGACCCTGGATCACAAAACCAGTCACAAGAAGCACAGGTATATTTGTGGCAATAGCCAACAATACATTGTATGGGTCAAAATGATCCATTTTTCTTTTCTGCCAAAAATAATTCGGATATTAAGTAAAGATCATGTTCCATGAAGATATTTTGTAAATTTCCTACCGTAAATATATAAAACATTTATTTGTGTGAGTGAATGCAGCACAATCGCGAAAACTTTGAAGGCGATTTTCTCAATATTTCGCTTTTTTTGCACCCTCAAGATTCCAGATTTTTTTTTTAAATTGACCCATGTGACTGGTTTTGTGGTCCAGGGTCACAAATGTTTGTTTTTTTTAAATCAGTGATGTCAAACCTGAAGAGACATGTCTTCTCTTGACACACCATATTTCAATGAATACACAAATGTGAATGAGATTTGAAATCTACAAGGCAGAATTTTTTTTGTCTTTTTGCAATTTTTGGAGATTGGTCCATTCTTGAACCCCTGGTCACAATTCACTTTCACTGTATGGAAAAGAGCTGCATGAACAAATGGCTAGGTATCTCCTTTTCTGTTCCACAAAAGAAAGACAATAAAATGTGTTTTGAACAACACTGTGTTCAAAAACAGATTACAGAATGTACATTTTTGGATAAAACACAATACAAAACAACAGTGAGGTTTGCAATGTGTTAAACCAACTCTCCTTTTTAAGATTACTGACGAATACACTAAGCGTTGTTTATGAGCGGAACGGAACCATTTAGTCGCTTTGCATTGTTGAGCAACAGTTGTTTGGAATACACTGAGTTCTAGTCATAGATGAGCAAGATCAGGAGTCCATATAGACCATAGAACACACAGGTGTGGGGTTGTCATAGTGACAGTCTGACCTTTGGCTCCATGGAGATGAAGCTGTGTGAGCCTCTGCTGAAAAGCGTCGACCTTTTTATCGTCCGGCTGTGGAAAAAATGGTAGTAGTCCTTCAGATCACCAATCTACAGGGACAACACAAAACTGCCATTTAGTCCATAGCAAATAAAGAAGCATGACATATTAACTACAATATACCACCACATCAGAAAATATCAGGTTGCGAAGCAAGAACCCAAACACGCTGCTACTTAGTAACTAAAAAGAGCAAATCGGGGCAGGTACATCTAATATGTAACAATATCGGTATGAATAAAAGGCAAGAGCTACAGCAATATTCACCACAGACATGTTGAAACTGGCTTATGTCATTAAATATTTAGAATGTCATTGACTGGAAGATTGGTTACTCAAGAGGCTGTATCACTTTCCACTGAACAGATTCATTTGACAAGTGCAAAAACACCAGGCAACCATGACACATTCTCCACAGACTACTGTACTCTATAGGGATACATAAGTCTGCCATAAAAAAAACAATGAGTCTTGATTCCAATGATAAGCCTTGCCAGTTTACAGTCAGTCAAACGGGCTTATAAAGCAATTGCTTTAAAATTAACTTGATGTAGGGAAAACTTCTGAGTTCATAAATAGCATCTTTCTTTTATTTCACAAACACATAGGCTACAACTGGCTCCTAAGGCAATCTCACATTCCAGGATCCTATAGCAGATTCCCACAGGAGGGCATGATGAGTCTGATGAGTTGCAAAGTTCAGGAGTGTTTAAGTAGTTTCATAAGTAGTTACTTTGGATGTGACAACCAGTTGAGGAAGGAACTCTTAGCTGGCACAACAACAAGCACTGATGAACGATAAGATAGCACATTGTGAAATCAGAGATTGAACGCGGTTGCTGTGAAATCTCTAGATACATGGCAGATCCGAGATCTGGCATACGGGCTTGTTGCAGTAAAGAGCAAAGTTTAAGACGCCACCATAAACTTGCATTAACCTATTATTTATTTAAATGCACCAGCCATTTATTTTTTACCATCAAAGTACTAACTGGATAACAAAACATATTATTAAACTAAATTGTTATGAAGACTTTTTCTTGCTTCCCGGAAAGAAGATGAAGCTGGATTGAGGCCAAGGCATTTTATGCCACATAATGCAGTTCTTGACTTCAACTAAACTTGGCTTGACAAATTAAAAACCAGACCTGCCTGTAAACAGCTGCATAATGTATAAATTTAGCTACCACGTATTTCACTATTAAGACATTTGAAACGTTAAAGGTGTAACACTTTTAGCCTTTGTAACATTTTGAGCATGTTACAGTCAATGTTACATGTCATGAATCCTGCTGAAGCTGCATGTCATGCATGGCTTGAGTTCCTAACTTATTGTTTTAAAATGCAGAAGTACACCTAAAAATGATTTTTTAAATAGTAGACAGATACAAGATAGTAGATCCAAGCAGTAAAGTTTCAAAAACACCTGTTGTTATTGGGAGTCAGTCAGTAGAGACCTGTTTGTTCACTGGATTTTACTCTGAGAACTGGGTATTATTGTTGGGCTAAAAATTAGTCTCCATGCACATCCATGAAGATTAAAATCTATAAAACATAAATTCAGCTTTCTCAACTATCACAACACAACATGTAAAACTCTGTGAAACTTGTGTAAAGGCTTCCAGCCTTGACGTTTGAACTTCAATCAAAGCGATAAGACACTTGAACTGATGGGAAACAGCATTGGACAGCAAATGCGGTCAAATAACACACGTGAGATGCTTCAAAACATCTTTGTGCAGGACACACGTACCTGGCCCAGGTTTCTATACCCATATTTATTGGCGATATGCTCTGCTTGCTCAGGTCCGCCGGCTATCCGAACAGCCCAGTGGTTGGTGTAAATCCGAGCTTTGCACGGAGAAGACGAGAAAAAAACCAAGCACAGCGAAACCAGGACGCACGGGAGGCTGTTCAAAACCATCTTTCGCCCTCTCTCTCTCGCCTCGACTCTCCCCAGCACCCCCGGTTCAGGAAAACAACCAAACTTCGTCTCGCCGTTCAGTGGGGATTCTCATAGAAGTGTCGCTTGAGCTCCACATATACTCAACAGAGGGTGAGCGCAGGATTTAAACTGGATTCAAGCCTCCGAACGCTTCAGCCTGCAGCGCATCGGCCGCACACACTCCGACGCCACGGAGAGAGAGAGAGACAAGAGTCTGTTTGCACAGCTTTGGCTTGATTTGTTCTCTCTAGACAGTGCCGTTACTTCTGCCTTTTTTTGTAAAGTGGAGATATGGTTCTAGCGCCTCCCTCAAATAACTACAGAGAGAGTCGGGAGAGTACGGACAACGAGCCGTGTGGGGTTATTACCGGGGCTCCGCAGGGTCTTAAAGACACACCGTGTTCCATCAACCCAGATCCGGTTGCGTTGTGACATTTATTCCCAGATGATTACAAATTATACTGTTTTGGTTTTTCTGTATAGTTATGGCCAGAAATGTAGTTTTATGACAAGTATTACATTTATTAGTTTGTTCCAGTCTTCAAATTTGATTGGCCATGGACTGGGGTGCTTAAATTTAATATAACAGCACTGAGTTGACTGTCACTATTGATTCACAAATTCTGCGTCCCAATTCAGAGGCTGCATCCTTCGATGGGCACATTTGAAGGCCAATTGCGTCACCGAGGCACGACAAACCCTGATAGCACTTAAATCTCAGAGATGTCTAATTGATGTGCATGTTCACATCTGCAAGACGTAGCCTATTTTTTAGAGTGTTTGCTCATCTGCAATATGTCTCAAGGACGTTTCCTGTCAGGCGTTAAATAGACATAGAATAGAAATCGCCTTCCAACCAAAATTGGCCTGTTTCCCAATTCAAAGGCCCAATTCGAACCGCTTTAAAGTTTGTTTGTTTTTTTCACATTTAGCCCAATACTTGCGTTTAAAAGTGTAATTCAGCAATTTCTCAAAAAAAAAAAATCCTGTCGTCACTAGTGACGCAATGATAGGCAAGGCTGCGAAAGATTCATCTGTTGTATATCCATCTGTTGTATATCCTTTATTTAACAGGAAACGATGGACGCATTTTGAGGCCGGATTTGCAAGATATCTGCAAGATGTCTGTTAAAGAGCACGTTATCTGGAAAGCATCTGCTGTGTACAAACATCTGAGAGACGTCTTTAAGATGTCAGTTTTAAGTTTAAGACATTTAAGTCTTTAAGCGATTTAAAGCGGTTCAAATGTTGACTTATATCTTACTAATATGCAGTTATATAGTTTATACTCTAAGTTAAAACCCGGAGTAGGAAAACACGGAATGATTACAGAATTATTTGATGCTTTTGTTTACACTTCATTTTTAAGGCCCATTTTTACCAAGGACAATAATGTCTGTAATATAGTCTAGATAATGTCGATAATGACTAGTTTTGATAATCACTCTAATTCTATGACAATCGGGAAATCCACACCACAACTAACAATAACCAGGAACAATAACGTTGGAATCACTTTAAAGAGCTCAAGCATTTAAAATGGCAAAAGACAAATCTGCAGTATGCTAAAATAAACAGAATATTATCGTCTGTTGGATGTCAATATAGTAATAATTATAGTTATCCTTCTTAGTAAAGATGATAACTAGCCTAACTATATATGTTTAATAATCATCATTCTACAATCTGAGACTGTGAGAATAGGGAAGTCCCCACCACGGATAACGATAACGACAGAGGAACGATATAGTTGGAAACAGGACGATTTTTTCCAACTAATGAACAATAAAAACATTGACAGCCAATCAGAATCTATCCTGCTTTAAAGAGCTTGAGCATTTAAAATGACAAAAGATAATTGCGGCTTTTTATCTCACAATTGCGAGTTTACATCTCGCAATTCTGACTTTATTTCTCAGAATTGCAAGACATAAAGTCAGAATTGCAAGATAAAGGCCTAAACTCGCAATTGCGTGTTATAAAGTCAGAATTGCAAGATATAAACTCGCAATTGCGTGTTATAAAGTTAGATTTGTGAGATATAAACTCGCAATTCAGATTTTTTGTCTTGCAATTGCGACTTTATATCACGCATTTTTTACTTTAACATGCAATTACGAGTTTATATCTCGCAATTCTGACTTTATAACACGTAATTGCGAGTTTGTATCTTGCAATTCTGAAATCTTTTCTCAGAATTGTGAGACAAAACTCGCAATTGCAAGTTATAAAGTACAATTCTAAGGGGAAAAAAATGACTGTTTCTCAGAATTGCGAGTTTACAAAATACAGAATAGCATTCTGACTTTATTTGCGAGTTATAAAGTCAGAATTGTGCGATATAGGCCTAAATATGCTATTCTGAGGAAAAAAGTCAGAATTTCGAGTTTATTTCTCGCAATTGCAAGTTTATATCTCGCAATTCTGACTTTATAACTCGCTATTGCGACTTTATATGTAAACTCGCAATTGTGAGAAATAAACTCGAAATTCTGACTTTTTTCTTGTGGCGGAAACAAGCTTCCATAGAATCATCCATTGATATGAATAGTAATCATTACCCAGATAGCACAAGTCTATTTGATGTTATATTTACATCTGGAAGACGTATTTTTAAGAGTGTTTGCTCATCTGCAAGACGTCTATAGGACGTTTCCTGTCAGATGTCAAATAGACGTTTAGAAGATGTCAGTTTAACATGCATTCTAAATCATTACATCTTAAAGACATCTTCTAAACGTCTATTTGACATCTGACAGGAAACGTCCTATAGACGTCTTGCAGATGAGCAAACACTCTTAAAAATACGTCTTCCAGATGTAAATATAACATCAAATAGACTTGTGCTATCTGGGTATAGTTATCACTCTACCAAAGATGATAACCAATGTAGGCCTATAACGTTTTAATAATTGTTCAAATTTTATAAGAATGAAGACAACAATAACGATAACGGCACAAATGAACAATTTTGTTGGAATTACTTTCAGGACTTTTTTTTTCAGCAGATGAACAATAAATTCATTGACAGCCAATCAGAATCCACCTGACATTAGCTTGTGCATTTATGGCTGCAGATACTAGCCGAAGTGCGATTATAATATGCTAAGAACGTTTTCGTCAGTCAGCGTTCTTGGTGTGAAATGGGCCTGTTCCAGTTCGTTCGCCATTAGTGACATGCAATGCAACGCTTTTTGCTTTGGCTTATTTTGGGACTATTTTCCTTTGCGGAGAAAAGGCCTATACCAACTGGCCAAGATTTTGGTCCGAAATATTAAATAGCCTACTAGCTGGCACTTAACTTTTTAAAAAAAAAAAATTATAGCAACATTCACAAAATATCAGCATGGCTGCCTACAGCTGAATCACTGCCCAGTCATATTGAGTGTGATAATGTTTATTTTTGATTTATTGGTCAGATATGAGAAAGCATGCGCCATCATCCATCAGTCAAAAGTTGTTTTTCTGTACATTCAACTTGCTCTTGAGTAAACACATTGTTTGCCTTGTTGTTTACCTCGAGTCCATAACATTCTGTCCATAAACGTGTGACTTACAGATCTAAGGTGGTGGGCTGCTTATAATTATTCCTCTCACAGTCGCATCCGCTCGTCACCAGACATACTTTTGATGGCATCATTATGTGGCGAGCGTTACGCGTCGTTCTCATTCACGTCATGATTGATTGATCTTTGTTTTGGTTATCCCGCCGCGCTCTGTTCCGTTTGCAGTACAAGTGCGAATCAGCATAATTGCACTAATTAAGGCCAATTTCTCCGTGAATGGAGCCGCTGTCAAATCCTACAACAGACGAGGGACAAGAATATCTCACGGTCCTTATAAACGAGATGAAAGGGAGACGAAAACACCCCATGAACACGCCATTGAGCGCGAGAGCAGGATTGCAATTTAAAGCACCGAGGGAGGAGGAGAAAAGGGGGAACATGCGGAGATTTTAGAGAGGAATCAAGTACCCAGCTCACGGAAGTAGCGGGCAACCCCATTCAGCGCGTCGCTTCTCTACCGGGGGGCGCAAATTCCGCTTGACAGCCATTACCCTGCGAGCCCGAGTCGCCCCCCTTCAAGTGTCTTTCTCTGAGAACAGTTACCAGCGTGCATTCCTTCTGCTGCAATTAAGCATTTATTTATCACCTCTTCAGAGCTGAGTAAACAAACGTAATGTGCGGAAATCACTGGATAATTATTATCCCAGGGTGCGCATTTTGGGGGTTTGGGGGGTCTGACCCCCCCGCCCCCTAATGCTTGAACCCACAAGGCGTTCAAAACAAAAGTTGGGGGTTAGTGCTATGTATTTTTTTTTTTTGTATTTAGGCCTGTTAATTTTATTTATTTTTTACAAATAAGTAGGCTAATCAACATTTCAGTAGGCCTACAAAGTTAAATTACAAAGGCTGGAATACACTACACGACTTGCCCCGATATAGGCCTAGTCTGGCGAGTTGAGTTAGCTCCCAAAAGTCTAAGATAGTCTGCAGTTTTTGGTTTGGTTGGTTGGTTGGTTAACTGAGTTGGGGTTGGTTGGTTAACTGAGTTGGGGTTGGTTGGTTAACTGACTTGGAGTTGACTGATTTCGTAGAAAATCATGTAGGCTATACTGATCAGTTTTTCTCCATGTCAAGTCAGACAAGTATAAACCATGTTTTAAAATCTGTTCCGATTTTAAAAGTCGTGTGCTACGCTCGCAAACTGACGCTTCACGTGACTAGGTAACCTTTTGATTTATTTAAGATTAAAAGTCCCCCTATGGTGAAAATCAAGCTTTTAATGTTGTCTATATGTTTTTTAATATGCTTTTGACAAACCATGTGCAAATTCATAAGTCAACACCATTGCTGAGTATTTTCTCCTTAAAACTGCAGTGAACCAAAGACGGTCTCAAAAAAAGCGGTTTGAAATCACTGGTGTTTCTGACATCACAAACTACCATGTAACCAATCACGTCAGATCATCAACTAGTGGATCTCTGACCTGGTGTGAGTGAGTGGAGGCGGGGCTAATTTGCATATTCATAGAACCTACATTGAAGCTATTTTAAGGCATTCAGACAAAACTTTTCAATTTGTAATTTTGGTGATCAAAGTGAGTTTTAAGGAATACAATTGTTGACTACAGGGGGACTTTAAACAAATTGTTCACCCCCTTAAGATATTTGAATGGATGACTTCATTTACTTGTCCTTCCAAATCAGTATGACTTTCTTTATTCTTTGGAACACAAAAGTTATTTGGAAAAATATATTATTTTATGTTCGGCAGAAGAGAGAAGAGGTCAAAACAAAAAAGGGGGGTCTTAGAATTATGTATTCAGTTTGGTAAGTTTTATAA